TACGTCTCCAAGTAACTGTGTTCAAAGCCGGAATCATCGTGGAAAGTTTTGATTTGAAAGTTTAATTCAAATTATAATATTTGAATAACAACAACCAATAACACATAGCATCAGTTGCTTCGAGGTTAAGTCCATTGTGTTGCTTTGTGTCAGCTATTTGAATTATCACCGGGATTTTATTATGTCTGTGTCAATTACCACAGAATATTTTAACAGCAGGGATCTATTTGCCGGCTAAACCGACAATTCAAAGTTTACGATCATATCAGCCTTACCCAAACTATTATTTTTCTGATAATTTGAGTTTCAGCAGATGTGGACTTTTTTTCTTTTAGTTAAGACATAAGGTGAAATTTCCGCAATGATCTAGAAATCACAGAAGGTAAACAGAGACCAGGGTTTTTTGTTTTCTTTCAAATAAAACGTCCTTGAACTGAAATATGTCTTTTCATTTCAGATTATGGCTAAAACAGTAATTAAAAGCAGGTCGACGCCATCCTTAAAGAGCCCTAAAGTGGCCGCCGAAGGCAATGGACTACAACTGAACTCGAAAAGAAGCGGGGGACTTGTCACCGAAAATGCTAGCAGACAAGGCATGCTTCAAACGAACGCTTTCCAACGAAAACGCAAAATTGAGTTGTTTATTGAGTGCACGGATCTTGTACAGCTTGATACGTTCTCTAGAAGTGACCCCATGTGTGTGCTGTATGTGAAACGACTAGGCCAGTGGATGGAATACGGTAGAACGGAGTCAATACCGAATAACCTTCACCCTAAGGTACACTGATTTCGGTACGGTCAATATTACCGGCACCCTGTGGCCATGGGGCCATTGTAAAGGGCCGTTTGCAGATGCTCAACTATATCAGCTTTAAATTTAGCGTTATTTCAATCCATTTAGCGAAACACTGTACTGGCTATACCTTTTTACTTTGAAGTACCCAGCTTAATGAAAAAAGATTGTGTGTTATAGGGGAAATAGTTGCCGCGGTTAAAGTCCACAGCCGTTTTTAGGCTGTGTAGCAGACTACGGTTAAAGCGAATTCCTCCCATTTTTCGGTCAAGTTTCTCAACATCGGATCGTTTCATAAAACAACCTCCTGCTTCCTTTTTGTCCGTGAATTTCAACAATTATTTTAGTGAGGAAATATTAACTATTATTTACCTCATAAAATAATAGCTCACCATCTGTGAATTTTTTTCTTTTTAATACTCCTGTGTGACTTAACTTTTTGCTAATGACCTATCTGTTCAAATTCCTGTTAACAAAAATTGTTATAAAGAAGGTCTTTTAATTTTCTAGCAGGTTTATTCGGTCTCAAAGGTAACAGATGCAAGTTGAAAATTATTTAGATCGACCATGTAAACATTGAATGGCAATGTTGAGTCTCTTTTTATGCAACTATCTAGTTTTGTTTTTTTTTTCTAGTGTCTGTCAATATAAATACTAATAATGAATCATTATCAAAATAATCAGCCACACTGGCTCTTGATTTTTCGATGCTTCTAGAATTAATTTTTTCAAGCAATGCCGGCTGAGCTTACGTCACTATTCATGACGTTAAATCAAAAGAAAGCTAGAAAATGAAATTGATGTTAATCCGAGATGTTAATCCGTAAATAATTCTCGACATTTTTAATTTGAAATATTAATCGGCCTGTGAATTGAAAATATACGTTGACTCCAATGCAAGGTGTGCGCGGAGCTAATTATGATTCAAAACTGTAAACGAAAGGATTAAACTGTTGGTGAATTCATGGCTTTTTAAACCGCTGTTAGCCTTACAATTTCAACTTCAAGCAGCCTTTAATTTTTATTCATTTCTTTCAATTTCTATTTTGTTTTACTTTTAAATGAGTCATTCATTTCATCAAATCAATATGTGAGGTGAAAATGCAGCTTTCACTCATTGATATGGTTCGTGATCAGTCTGGTTCGTGATTGAAGCTAGAAGCTCGCGCCATTTTATCTACTGCCGATTTAAAAGCTGTCACGAACTGCAGTATTTGGTGATAGTGATTTTTTATAGCAGTGTTGTAAAGATGTCATTGGAGAGAAAACGGTGCTCTTAGGAACGTTTTAAACGTCGAACTTCACATGTTCAGAATATAATGCTACTGGGGAAAATCTATTGCTCTGTCTCGCTCATTTGCATCGGATTCAGCAAATGTAGACGCGAGAAACGAGGGCGGCAGCCCGAGAAGAGGTTGTCGTGCTTCTCCCCGTCTCGCGCCTTCAGTCACGCACGTGATCATTTGCGTGTCTTGGACGTTTTGCTCGACGGTCCAAGAAAAAAGAGAGACTGTTCGTAGTCTAAAAGAGGGCTTTCGTGTTGTTACAAACATCTTGGATTATGCAGCTGCCAAATTTTAAGCACTTTGTCATGTGATGAAAAGAATTTTTATTGCTGCATCCTTGTATAAAAACCCTAAGTACAGCAGGTCTGCACATCAGCGTGAATATTGAATCACGGAAAGAAAACTTGAAGCACTGAATACAGACTAAGCAGTACAAAAGGTTTTAATAAGCATTTTATACTAAATGGTAACTTCATAAAATTGAAATAAATAATTAATTTTTTTTTTCAGTTCATAGAGACGTTTATCCTTGAAGCTAACACGACGTTATATCCAAGACTTCGCTTTTCAGTTTTCGATCTGGCAAACTTCACCTCCAAAGACCTTCGTAAACACGATTTTATTGGCAGCCTAGAAATTGAATTGGAAGCCATGTTGGAATGCGACAACGGATCAGCTATTAGAACGTTACGGCTTCCGGGAGATGTAAAATCGCGAGGTTATATACATGTTTACTGGGAAGATGTGAAGGAAAGCAGGACTAACGTTAAACTTCATTTTGGAGCCACGAATTTGTCAAAGAAAGGACTTTTAGGGAAGTGCGATTCATTTTTTGAAATTAATCGTCTGCTGTCCAAGCCTGATCACTTCCATCCTATCTACAGATCTGAAGTGGTCACAAGAACAGCCTGTCCAAAGTGAGTTAATTATATCAACCCTTTACTGGGCCCTAAGATCAAAATTTGAATTCTCATTTGTTGCTCCTATTCATTTCCTACAGAAGTGTAGTAGGGAGTCAAGCAAATTCATCTTGTATGATCATGTCTGTAATTCTCATGACCACTCTGTTTTACAAAGCATTGATATTACAAGGAGAAATTTGATGCTGATCAATCTTAGGGTTTAAAGGGTTAATTGCGCACTACAGGATTGCAGGTATTTCTGCAAAGACCATGCTGGTTGTTCAGATCTCTTTAATTGAAATTTATACTGAAAGAATTAAGTTATCGTTGGTGGTTTTTAGATATCACCTAAATAGTCCTTAAAGTGGACCTTTTATAGTCAGTGTTTATGATGACACTTCGCCCAACATCAAATAGGCCTAGACATAATTGAAGACGAATATTCTTCTCGTACAATCCTATAACGTCGGAACGGCGGAGTAAAGTCGACGTAGAGTGTTTAGTGCTTGATGCGTTGGAAATGTTGGGGGAAGCGATCCAAAAATTTTTGATATGGGGGATATAAACATTCTTTGAGGTTGAAACTATTCTCCCTTGTACATCTTTTCCTGCAAACTTCTTTGTCTCTTGTGTAATTGGCTTAAGCCAAGAGACAATGCAAGAGATGCTCGAGACGACTGCGTAAGTTTTATTCCATTTTAAGCACTTTAGAAAGTCCTCCGGTCTGACCGATATATCGGTGGGGAGGAGAGTCCGAAAACTGTCGACCCCCGGAATACGCCACTTCTAAAACGTATAGTTGTTGAGTACTGACAGACGTGACATTTTGGTACGCGGTCAACTTCTTTATGGACACCTTCTTTAAACGGACACCTATAGCTGATTCCTGCCTTTCAGCTTTTGTCCGTTTCCTTGACTCTTATCTAGAAAGTGGATAATTCTCTAGAACGGATTTATTATACTTATGCCTTGGTTCCAAAGGTATGAGATGAATAACGTTTTGACTGTACATGAGTTCATGCGCAGGCCTTTGTAATATCTTTACTCCCAGCCAGAGCCCCTACTGTCTGTCACGTGACGTTATAGTACGTCGTCCAATGATTGGACGAATATCGATTGACACTAATAACATATTAGCTGCTTGGTTTAGGAGGGAGGGTTATACGAAGCCTTGAAAATAATTATGTAGACGACGTTTGAAAGTTCAGTCTTGTGGACAGTGCCCTACCGTAAATAGTGAGCTTAAGCAGCGACGTTTTTCAGCGACGGACGTAACCGGAAGTGGACTTTTTGCATCATTGGGGAGCGGTTTGGTTGAAACTCTCGGGTAAATCGTCTTTAAAAGAGAAAAGAAACTCAGCAATACAAGTTTATTAGCGTCAAGGCATATAAAAAGCCTCACTTCCGGTTGACGTGCGTCGCTCAAAAACGTCTTTGCTTAAGGTCCCTAATGAACGATTAAGGCGCCGGGATGCGAATAAGCGCCGCACCTATACCAAAAAACAAATAATAATTTAATAAGCGCCGCTCTCGAATAAACGCCGAGGAGCTAATTTGGGTATTTACAAATTAGCGCCCTACCTTTGTTACAGCGCTAGATATAGAGAGATATCAAAACCATATCGCTTGGGAAATAAGACCTCGACCAACTCATGAGTTCTAAAGTTTTAATGTAGGGAAACTCTTGAAACCGGGTTCATATATCAGTTCGAGGTGTACATATTTTATATTAAATTACGCATACGTAGTACGTGCCTCACTTAATTCTCTCTATATTCCCCTCAGTGTTTTACCTGTAGTTGAAATAGGCGCCGCTCTCGTATAAGCGCCGCATTCATAACAGGAAAAATGAAACAAGCGCCGCGGTGCTTCATCGATCATTTACGGTACTCGGTTTTATAAGAAGCTATTGACATTAGTTTTGGTAACTTGTACTTGTCTACAAGTTTAGTGTTCATGACTATGTTGTTTTAATACGTTTAATAGGTGGGCACCATTTGACATTAGTCTACAGAAGTTATGCAATGACAATGTTGATGGACAACTTTTACTCTCTTGCTGGCATTTCTCAAACAGTGGTAATCACTCCATTGTAGGAGAGGCTAAGATACCCTCAAGTTCCTTATTGAAAAGGTAAGAAGCACTCGGGGGAAGCCCTCGGCAAAATTCCGGGGAAAATTGTAACTTGAGGTTACCCCTTGAGCTACCCGTCTCGGCAGCTAAATAAGTATAGTCCACTTACGGCTGCTTAGTCTTTACCCGACGGTGTGCAATTCTGATGAGGTAGAGGCGGCTGCTTAGTTCTCACACTGTCCGGATGATAAGGCTTATAAGCATGCGTAAAGCACAGGCCACGTAGGTGTAAGATAAAAGGGGCAATTTAATTGTACTACACCAGAAAATGAGCTCACATTCAAGTTTACTCTGTACTTTTTACATTCATAATTTTTCTCGTCCATAGAACAGTTAGAGAGGTGGATATAGTGAATCCAAGAAAACAGAACAAAGGTAAACGAAATTCAAACTCTGGGACTTTGCGCATTCTTCAGTGTCACGTAGACACACAGTTTAGTCTAGTTGATTACGTCAGAGGTAACTGCGTCATCAAATTGGTATGTGCTGTCGACTTCACCATCTCCAACGGAAAACCCATGACTAAAGATTCTCTTCACAATATAGACGAAGAAAAGGCAAGTGTTAGAATTGATTAAATCTAAGAATTGATATGCAGATCTTATGTTAGAAGTTGACTTTGGAAGAACTTCTTTTAGGTAGTTCTTTGTATTTTTTTCATCTTCAGACGCTGGTCGTCCAAATTGCTTGGTTATTGAAACTAGTTCATAGACTAGTTACTAACTAGTTACATAGATACCTGTTTACCACACAGTTCATCTCCGACACATGGATTATTCTGACTGCAATTTAAAAATTGTCCTTTTTAAATAGACCACACGAGAAATCGACCTTTTGATCTCATTGATGATCAGTATTTTCAAGCAAAAAGAACGTTATGCAACAAGGTTCAACTTTTTTCGTATGATGCCGGTTGTTCACAACGTGAGCTAATCCATTGCCTCCATTAGCTCGTTATTTGATGAGTTCCTTTCAGTATGAGTTGAGAAAAAAGAGTTTGTGAACAGTCTGTTCATACAGCATCAGATACAACTAATAGACAGCTAATCAATTAAATTACGACAAGAATTACGTCATCTGCGTCGTCGTCGTTGTCGTCTCTTTCCTAATCCTCCTTTTTGTCGTCACCATTCTCATCATTGTTATCATTATGATAATCACCATTTACATTACATCATCATTATATCAGTCACTATCATCGACGTGACGTAACCTGCGTTTTACTCTTTTTTCACATGATGATTGCAAGTTCGTTTCCCGGCCACCTCTAAAATAAGGCCTCAAATTTCTTTTGTAGAATGAATACGTCAAGACCCTGGACACTATCGGGAAGGTATTGACGAGCTTTAAGCAGGAGCAGAAAATTCCAGCTTATGGATTTGGAGCCCAGGCCACATCGGCCGGTCCATTGCCATATATTTTCCCTCTGGACAGAGACTGTGGGCAATTTGAATTGGAGAACATAGATGTGAGTTTTAGTGCAAGGACATATCCAGAGTTATAAAATCCTAAAGTAGAATTTGGTCCAAAACCACTGACCTATTTGTAAAACGAATACACCTTTTTCAAACGTGTAAAAATAAATGGAGGGTGATCTTTCACGAATTGTAAGTGAATGGTCATTTCAAGCATCTATAGATTGAGTCTCTGGGCCTGGGATTTTTCCACACGCTAATACCACTGGAAGTGAGATTGGAGGCTGACCTTATATGTTAAATTAATTAAATGTTAAGAATATTATATATAATGCTGCGAAAATGAAATTTTTACTCGCCCCTTTTAGTAGCTTTATTTCTTTCCCTGGTTAAATGGAGCAAAGCTAGTTAGCGTCTGCCTCAAATATCACTATGTTGCTTCATTTTCCCTTTTGCTGAAGACTGTTATTGACGCTTACTGGAAACGACTGGAGGATGTAAAATTAGGGGGACCTACATATCTCGCGCCCGTCATCCAACAGATAGCGGCCTACGCCGAAAGAGAAGTATCCCAGTGTTCACAGCACTACACCATAGGCCTTGTTATTGTTGATGGCATTATAAATGATTTGGAAAGTTTGACGGACACTTTAATTGAAGTCGGGAATTTAGCACTCTCCATCGTAGTTGTGGGCGTAGGACCAGCTGATTTTAGATTAATGGTAAGAAACGTAAAAGTCATGTGAATGCTTGCTCGATAAGAAAATTAAGGCTTCTGTCATATAGTATTTTCAAATTAATCGCAACTATAACAAAATTTTCATATGACTGGTTATCAATTGGCCTAATTTCATCACTAATAGAACAGTGTAATAGGACTGTACACCTCATGCCTAATTAATTGGGCAGTATGCACCATAGCTGGCTGACACTAGAAGGTTTTATTCAAATCAAAAAAAAATTAGAAATTTTGTTACCTTTAAATTTTGTTTTAGTTATTATTAATTGGTAAGAGGATCTTGTGTCGTCTCTTTTGGTCCGTAATCACATACTGGTGATAAGTTGTGACTACAGACCGAATTGGGCTCCACTCGGTCCCATTACCATCATGAATTTGACAAAATAAAGTTCTATTACCAACTAAATGCAAACACTCATTTACAGTGCGTGCTTGCGTGCAAAGGAGCTTCAGGGTTACTGACAACCAATCGCATTATATAATGCCGTTGTAACTATACTAAGTCGGTGGAAGCCACTAGTAAGAACAGAGAATATTTTTCTGGGGAATAATCCTGAAAAAAAGGAAAAATTGGTACCATTGTTACTTAGGGTCGAAAGATTGCATTCAAGTAACCATCAAGTGTCAAAACAAGCAATAAGCGCGCACTTGCACATTGCGTTCCTTTTTTTTTGGAATGCAGAAAATAATAATAACGTCTTATATCATTATTTAGGATGAGCTGTTTTCAAGGAGCAGACGACCTCTAAGATCAAAGGATGGAAAGACACTGGCACGCAATAATACAGATTTTCTGTCATTAAGAAGACACGCCACAAATCCGGGAGTGAACGATTCCGTGGTAAGCTGATTATGTAATTCTTTAGTCTATGATAAATTTCAATAACTTTCACTGTGTACCTCGCCCAGAGGTGTTTTGGTTTAAGTATTTTGGTACTGAGATCATAACTAAAGGTACTGTTAATTAAGGTGTTTTTATCTTATAACATGTCTCGTAATTTTTATTTCGACGCAAGTTGCACAAGACTAGGGGTACGTTGCTGGGGGTTATAGTCCCTGAGAGGACTCTTAAATACGCGTGTCTTGCAACGCGGTTTGTTGTAACAAACGTTAAGGTGACTCGACCCAGTTTTTTTGGGGGGGTACCATCCTACTTTGAAGCTCCCAGGTATCCCCACCTTTACTTTTATCGTAAGTCTAACACATGGAATGGATAACATATAGATCAATCTACAATATAACATAAAATTTTGGGCGATCGGAGGAAATGTCACGTGGTTATAATGCCACGCCCCTTTGAGGTCTGAGTCGAAAATCTGCTGTTGCAGGCATTTTTTCGTGAAAATCTCTCGGCTACACATAGCGCGCATTAGTGCCTTGCGCTGAACAGAGTTTCACCAAAATCGCAAAGACCCAATTCGAGAAATTCAGCGGTTTCCAAATTTAGGTCATAATTTATGCGAAAATGATAAGCAAACTTTACACGGATTATATCTAATAAACTATGAGATTCATCTCTTTATTTTGAGCATCGTTATAACAGATGGGTCCTTGCAAGTCAGCAAAACGCTTTAGGGCCTTGTAAATGCGCGCGATTTCGAGCAAAGCAAACATATAGAAATTATAGTTTTCGCTATTTGTTGACGTTTGTCAGCGTTTAAGAGTCTTTCTCACGAAAAAAGCATTTTCTTAAAAATTTATAGTTTTTTTTCCTTAAAATTTTTTCAGGGCCACAATTGATTAACTAACTACCCAGACTCTGAATTTCATGGTCATTGAAAAACTGTGACATTATCTTCTATGAGCCCAAACTTGAGTAAACATTGAAGATTTTTAGCGTTTTGGCTGAGTTTGTGCTTTGGGAGTTGTCTATTGTTTCTAGTCTGTCATTATACAGCATTCTTGTTCAGCAGGCGTGCAATGACCGCGCTTGGCTTGGTCTAACTCGGGCACACTGACTTTCGCTCGGACATTTCCTTTTCAGAGTGTCGCTTGAGAATACGAATATTCAGTTGTACTGACAATAAGGAACTCCAGTTGTCTTTTGAACGAGCTAAGGAAAGCTGGGTACTTTCGAAGGGGGACTGAAATATCAAAGTACCCCCTCAAAACTGCAGAACATCTAAGAAACACAAGGGAGCTAACTGTGGCACCTGCGCAATTGGACAAGACTGCAACAGATTACATTCGCAAAAACCTGCAAAACGTCATTTCAACTTATTTTCAAGTTTTCTATTTTTTTTCCCGAGATACTTCACTGGCGGAGTTCTAATGTAAGGGTGTTGCCAAAAATCAACATTTGCAAAACTTCTTTAACTTATTGACATCTCTTTCTTTCGCCAGGCTCGTGAAGTCTTCGCAAACATCTCACAACAAATTGTGGCATTTTTTAAATCAAAAGGAATTGTTCCTAACCTTCCAACGAATATGAACTTTACACAAGCCTGGGACGATTGCAATAATACACCGAATTCAACTTCCAGCAGACCCTCCTCGCCGCGCATGCGCAAAATTTCTCATAATGTTGTACCGAAATGTCCGACATGCGGATCGGTGATCGATCGCGATGGATTTGACAAGACCTACGTCTAATATACTATCTACGGTAGCCGGCGAGCAAGCTCTCCAGCTCGGGGATATCGTCAGAGGCCACGGACGAGGGGCGCGCGAAAGGAGGCAGTCACTGGTTACTCTCTCGGCTCCCTTCGCTCGCCACTTGAAATGAGGAGTTTGCTCGCAGGCTAAATCTAAGGATAATTAAGATTGCGGCTAGTGGTGTGACGCGGTTTGTTATTAAGAATGATAATTATGAAAAAGGGAGTAAAAACAGACACTGGAGATTGTTTTATTTCTCTATTTATTATTTTGAAATTTTTTAAAAAGGGAGAGAGAAAGAAGTCAGTACTTTCTTGTGATGTAAAATCTTCAATATCTGCAATATCTTGAGCTACAAAATGGCACCCAAACAGACATAAAGAATAAAAAGATCACTCAAAACGTTCGTTTCTTGTCTTTTCTCATTGCTTGCTGAGTTGCTCATGTTAAAAATTAATTTGTTAGTTTCACACAAAGTCCATTCATGTCTGGACCAAATTCGTAACGATTATTTACATCAAAAATAAATAAATATGGTAAAACTAAGCTCGGTAAAGGAAAGAGAAAGATGAAAAGCTTCTTAGTTCAAACATTTCACTGTATGCTTGGTTTCTCGTTTCCATAAAACCCCGGATAACAGAATGTACCCAGAACTTCGTGGCTGATTCATTCTGGTCCTCGTTACAGAGTTGAATCCATCTGGGGATTGGAACCATCTAGAATGGGTTCCACCTCTCCTTTGTCTCCAGTCTCTTGTTTCGTTTCGGACCTTCGCAGCAACCGGGGGCCTGAGACGGCAATTCCTACTGCTCCAGTTGGAGCCGTGAGAAGGATAGACAACACGGCTATGGTCAATATCTGTAAAGTTAATGGCAATTTTAAGTAGGTCAGGGCCGTAATGACAAATACACCGTGCATCGCATTCACCGTATTGTTCTCATTAATAAACAACCGGAATGTAGATATCGCGTACAGTAATTGAAAAAAACTACCTAAAATTTTCGTTTAGTACATGAAACTCTTTTAGAATTCGGCTATAAATCGCTACAAGTGCATTTTAAGTGTACGGTAGTCTAAGAACAGTACAAGAATAAGTTCAGATTACTAGATCACTAAAATTGACATGTCGCAGGCATTTTAATTTTCTAAATTTTGAACAAGTGGTCGTATTATCGGGTTGAAATTATAAGGGTTTCTACTGTTTGGGATTGTAAAATGTGGCAGTTGGCCGTATTAACGGGTGATCGCATTAACGGATTTTTTTTATAGGAAGATGTGTGGCCGCTTTGCCGGGCCGAAAACAACTGGCCGTAATAACGAGATGATCGTATTAGAAACTGCACTAGTCTGCAATGAGGGCGTATTTTTTGGGCGAGCGAAAATTGCTTTTTTATGTTCGTAAAGCCGTGGCTGCCGTGACGATTACACGAACGAAAACACGCGTTCACCCAGCGAATGCAAATTAAATCTGCACATACCTAGTACATTTCAGTTAAGAAAAGCTTTCATCAGTCCTGAGTCTCGATAGCAAGCTTACCAAAAACCAAAAGTTGTATTAAAATCGACAGTAACAGAGCGCAGCAAGGTTTCCGAGAACGTTCTCAAGGCGATTAGCAACAACTGCATCTAATTTCGGACGTCAAAATTAAAAATGGCCATAAATTCTCACATCAATATCCTAAATTCAGACTACAGCGCCGTTCCTAGCCAAAGACTACTAAAGCTTTTCTATTTGTTCCGTCAAAAAAGAGCATGAGGTGTCAACCTCGGCAATAGCCTAAAATCCGGAAATTGTCCCAGAGCCGGAAAGAGAAAAAAGACCACTGCCTCAACTTTAGATAACCGTTTTACCAACTGAGCTACATGTACAGGGCCAGAAAGGAATGAGCAGGCTATCATGGGTATTTAAACCCTTTCTGGCATCATTGGACGTGTACAAGTACGAAAAGAGTAACCAGAAGGGGATTATAAACTGTTATTACCTGAATTCCGAGCTCTTCCTGAAGCATACCGGTAAAACCTCGTTCGCGCGCCATGTCCAATGATACTGACCCTATGGCGGCCTGTGAAGACAATACGGGGATTAAGCAACGATGACGACGAGACGGCAACAAAAATGGAAAAAAAGTAATAGGATTAGATTGGTAAAACAACAACTTTGCACTTGCATCACGATTTTTTACCATTTCCTTTCCGTCGTTGCATGTCCACGACGTGAAACTGCCTAATTTCAAACGCATTTTGTGGAGCCGAGGACGTGAACTCAAGACAACGCCTGCTAATTCTTTTTAAACTAGATACAGTCCTTTAAAATTCAACTCCAGAAAAAAGTCACCAATATCTGACAAATTGATTGACATGGAGTAAGAGCGATTAATTTGGAGACAGCATGAATTCACTTTTTAAGAGACGTTTTCGCCACCGGCATTATCGCTTTGCCATACAATAGTCAGGTCAAAATCATTTCAACCTAGTTTGGAGCTACGAGCATTTATAATATACGGAGGAAAAGTAAGTCCTTAGACTGAAAAGCAGTAGGTTTTATGTTAGCATTTTTAGCCCCCGCAAAACTTGAAACGGCTGTTCGATAGTTTCCAATACTTTTTTTAACAATACATCGTTTCATGGAAAACAACGACAAACGCGACGTCGAACAGAAGTCAGGTTGACATTTCAACCGGGCTCTTGATATCATGAATGGCCTGCGCAACCTAAAGAATAGCTGGCAGATAACCGACTAACTAATCTGTAGGTTGCACTGATTTCAATAATAAAATGTAGTTTCTTAGCCAATATACAGTAATACGCGTTGAAATGCCAACCAAATTGTTCACATTCATCCTATTGTGGCATACGCCTGGGGTCTTACCTGTACTGTGGCTTTTGGTGACCAAGCAATCGCCACGAAAATCTTGTCCTTAATACTGAGCTTGTTTCCAGACACAACCAAGAAAGTTACTATCAGTCTAACAACCATGGCTACTGTGAGCAAAGCAAAAGCTTTACCTACATTGGAATAACACAAAAATCTTGAACCAATGGACTTTTTACAGTTTACAGAGCTCTCCATTTTCTCTTATCTTTATGGGATAAAAGGGACTGAACGTGAGACTGGACTCCCGCTACAATGCCCCCCCCCCCACCCAGATATGTCAAGGACTGCAAGTTGTCGAGATTTTTGCTCTTTATGGCAGACATCACGAATTGTCATCTATTCCTAGCCCTTACCTTAATGCAATCAATGGAAATAAGAATTAATTGCATTAAGTATCCAAGTTCCGAGTTTTCTTACGTTTCTGGACATAAGTGCCCCACTCCTGCATTCATTTTAAAGGTAGGTTGAGTTTGATCGTCCGGGTGAACGTAGTCCTGAATAGGACTGTTGTTGTTGACAGTGACTGACGTTTCGACAACCTGTGCGGTAGTCATCTTCAGAGTCAAAGTGAGTTGTATCACGTCAGTTGATGGTATTATACTCACTGGTTATTGATCTGATTGGTCAACTACGTCGCGATGTTATTGGTCGTCTGTCAGTTAAGCCGTGATGTTATTGGCCATGAAGACTCGTAATCAGCAATTGGTGCGTTTCGATCCGTCTATTGTTAGTCAAATTGTCAGTTCTCCAGTCATTCTCTCGTATTTAGTTTTGCTTGATCTCGTCAATAAGTCGTTTGTACGGCGCTGGTAACTGTTGGCCACGATTCAGTAGCGTTTGTTCTAAGTTAGTAAACCAGCTTTCTAAAGTAAAACGTTGATAGTAGTCTGTAGAATACGTTATACATGTCGCAGAGTCCCAGTCAATTTTAAGTTTCGTCTTTAAATGGTGCTCAGCAATGTGATTGTTGACGTCACCAGTCCTCGTCGCGCGTTTGTGTTCGGTCAGTCGCGTGCTTAGGTTTCAGCCGGTTTCACCGGTTGGCTTGCTATTTGGCACGTTTCTTCCAGTTTTCGTTAAAATATAGAGAGGATGTGAGCAGTCTTTTTTACATCCAAATGACATGTAATTTTGTAAATGTAACATTGCCAGCATGGCTAGAAAGTACCCAGGGCAGAAAAGGATAACCAAAAATGTTTCTTACTTTGTACTCTTGGCAAAGAATAAAAAGAAGCCCCGAGCAACATACAAACCTCCCAGACTAGTACTTTGTTAGACTTAGTTCTACATATACAGCTATTTCGAGAAAGGTTGTCGGAAATAGTGCACGCGACAATCACGAAAGATATTGTGGGTGGTTTTGAGTTCGCTGTTTTGTTCAAAGAAATTTCAAAGAATGGCACGAGAGGCCATTGATGTATGTTTACGAGTGCTAAGGGAAAGCAACAAAAGTAGGTTCGACAGCTACAGTGTCAGGAACAGTGTATTGATCATATCCCATATTACCTTGGATTGTGGCATGGACAGTTTTTCCCGACAGCCTTTTTCAAAATAGCTGTATACTGAGTATGTTTTCACAGAGACAATAACTATTACACATTTACATTACAGAGGCTTACCAATTAGTGCACTATCCATGTATTCAATGCTAACTTCAGCACCTATTAAACCAAACAGCAGAGGCTGAAAAAATTCCCACACAATGGCCATAGCATCAGCAATAAGAGCCTAAAATTACCACAACACAAAAACAAGGAAACCTTAAGATCTGCATGTAACTGTTACAGGTCAAATTTGATTTCAGATTAATTTTGGTTTAAGGCTAGGTTGATTCTTACTTCCCTTTGGCTCACAGCCCTATGAGAACCAACCCAGGAAAAAATATCTCAACCTGAAATCAAATTTGACCTGTGACATAACCAACCAAGAGTTAGCAAATTTACAGTGGAACCTTGATTAACCATGAGACCTCTGTATCAGAAAATCCTTGTTATATTAATGATCAATATTCCTCATCCCAGTAATACCAAAATATATGGAAAAGAACCTTGATATAATGAAACCTCATAGTAAGCATAATTATATTTGTCAGTCCCTTGGCCCTTCCTTACATCAAGGTTTCACTATATATTCTCTAATCAAAATAATTGCAGGGTTTTTAGAATTTCTAGTCAAGAATAAAAAAATTTGCATGAGCTGATAAAATGCACACAGTAATATAAAGCTAATATGTGGTCAAAACATGTCATGGTACTCTCATGCAATGGAATTTGGCATTAACTTCATTACTGACCAACCAACCTTTTCTGAGTCTCCCCAGCCATACGCTGCCACAGTAGCCATCACAAGCACACCCAAAGCTCCAGCTCCTGAAAACTGAGCCATGTTACTTCCAAAAACAGAGAGCAAGGCACAGCCAAGAAGAATCACAAACCTATTACGAGATCTGTCTGTCTGCATGAAAAAATAAAGGAAAATGAGTAATACAGTCAAACCTCCTGAGAGTGACTACCCAAAATGTGAAGACTTAGTGGTCCCTTATGGAAGGTGGTCGCTTAAAAGAATCGAAACATAGGGATTTTCTTCTGAGAAGAGGTCTTGACATATCTAAATGTACCTTACAGAAGAGAATTTATTGCATGCAAAAGTTAAGATATGTGTACTTTCATGTTTTCACTCATAGTTCTTTCTGTATTCTGAGTAGGGTAATATATATAGAATACTTTGCTATCAGACCATGCCTTGTGGTTGCTTACAAGAGGTTCAAAATGATGGAAAAGTGGTCATGGTCACTTACAGGAGGGGGTTGTTAGGAGAGGTTCCAGCTGTAAGGCTTTAACCCTCTAAGCCCCCAATATCCATGTACAAATTCTCCAAACTGATCTCTATACATTTCCATAAAGAATAAGTTGAGAGAATTTGGAAGAAGATCAAAGCATTTTCTCTTAGGTGATTATTTCATTAATTCTCACAACCTTTTCTCTTGATTGTGTACTGATATTGTTGGGAGAAAATAGATGTTGGTCACTTTTGGACTTAAAGGGTTAAATGGGAAAATTGTGGTATTTTGGATAGGTTGCCTATTAGCCTGAGAAAACAGCCGACATTTAACGACGCTACCACTGGTTTCCCCGCCAATTGATGTCGGAGAAATGAGCGTAGAAATTCTATACTGATGAAGCGCCACTACCCAGATCTGGGTAGTGACGCTTCATCAGTATAGAATTTCTGCGCTCATTTCTCAGATGTCATTTGGCAGGGAAACCAGTGGTAGCATCGCCAAATGTTGGCTGTTTTCTCAGGCTAGTTTCTTATTGGAGCTGAGGTGGTTGCTTACAAGAGGTGGTCACATATGGAAGGTCAACTGAATTACACAACATACAATCAATAGAAAAATCACTGGCTGAGGCATAAAAGTGATTGATTCTTTCATTCTATGCAATCTAGGAAAAGTAAGTGAGCAAAGTTAACTTTACCTCAGTTTTGCTTGGTAAGAACCAACATAAAGCCCCCACCAGACTTCCAAATACCAAACCCATTAACAGCTCAACGGGACCTCTGAAGATGTTAAACACCATGTTCCCTGTTAAAAAGGAGGGTGAAATACAACAGAGACTTTGTTAAAAACAAAAACAAAAACAGGTACCTGTTTGGAAGATGATCTGCATGCATGTGAGATTCAAGAAATTGTATAGACTTATTGATTACAAAAGCTAGCAACACACACACAGACAATCTTTAAGACCAGTGACAAATCAGATGGAATGCACCTTGGCCCCCTCATCATCTCAAAAACACATTCAAAGAACCAAACATACTTCCTTCACCCCCAACATGACATTTTACTCCTCCATCCATCACTTAAACACAACACAACTGAAGACTGGGGCCAGAACGTGGAAGCAGTACAGAAAGATACTCTGACTCTCAGTTACTTTAATAATGAATTGAGGAATGAATTAAGGGGTCCCCCGATGAAGTTAGTGAATGAACAAAAAAAATGTATCAGGATGAATGCATAGTAATATCGACAACTAACATGCATATGCTCTGCAAAAGGTTACAGTGCAACTGGGAAAACTGCGAACACTTAAATATCTCAGGAATGTTTATTGTGTTATGACCAATCACAGCAAAGATCAGGACACCTGAAATGGCCACAAAACCACAAACTAGTTAACATTCTTGCTTGTGGCTTAGTTTTCTCACACTGATTGTCTTTTCTCTCGTAAGACAATAACATTTCAGAAATATTTCTGGAGTTCACGGTTTTCTTGGTTTGACTGTAAAACTTACTAACCTTCTGAGAATGCAATACCCAGAAAAATGCCAAACAAACTTATTGCAATGACATCATCAAAAGATGATGCTGCCATCACTAAAGTGGGGATTCCCTGTTCAACACCAAAACCTTCTCGTTGTAGAGTGAGAAGCTGAGGAACTACAACTGCTGGTGTGACTGCTCCTAGAACAAACCTATAAAAAATACTACAACGTGAGATAAAAAGTTCAACTAGACTACCCATACATGTATAAGCCACAGGGTCATAGGGTGTATTACTTGATCTATTACTTAAGGTGATTCCCTAGTAAAAGAACCTAACATAGATTGTGGATGAAACTTGGTACACTGATGTAACAAGTCAAGATGATAAAAAGGTAATAAAAAGTGGGGGTCACCGTGCTCGTTTTGACGTCACAATGCCGATAAATACAACTATTTTGGACCAAAAACCGCGCGCAGCCCAAAACTAGACAAAAAGGAAAGATTTTTTCGATGAAGCATGTGGTATCGCACAGAATTTGACTTTAATGTATTGTTTATCCACTTACGTACTAGAAAAATGCCTTTTAATGCCCTTGTTTTTACTTTACGCTCCAAAGTAGAATTAAATTGGACACGCGCTATTCGACACGTGATAGCTCAATCCGTACAATTTAGTAAAATTGCCAAAAAACTGAACATAGATTTGTGCCAATTTTTTTCCCACCGAAAGGAAGCACTAGCCTTATTAAAATCATGAAATAAAAAATGGGGGTCACCGTACTCGTTTTTGCGGTAGAGCTGCAGAAAGTGCGCACCAAATGCATTTTTCCTTCATTTTTGAGAGAGGACTGGGGCGAGTTTCAGAATTTTCAGAATTTTAGAATGTATGGGAAAGGGGGAAGAAAGTATTAAAAAATCCGTTCTTACAGAATTTACATCGAGATATCACATTAAGGACAAAATGTGATAAAGAAAGCATTTAAATGAAAATCAAAGTGAATAAGCACAAATTAAACATCCACTATCGAGGTTCTCCATGAGGATGTCGAACTCAGCAACACGCATACTGCTTACGTTATGCACATTCCCACCACATTGAGTCTCACCTCGGCAAGAAACAACCGCAAGCAAAAATACGCTCTTCTCACGTATGGTAATATGCCCGTCTAACCTCGTTTTTGAGTAAAACGTCCTTTGAAATGCTAATCAGACGACGTTTTCGTATTTGAATTTCAAAAGAATTTTTACCCATAAACAAGGTTAGACAGGCATATTACCATAAGTGAGAAGAGCGTATTGCAATAGCGTTTCTCTTCGGTCAACTTCATTTTAATAATGTTACTTCACATACTTTTTTACGGAGGCCATCTTGTTATGCGCAGTAAGAGATGCGCAGTGCAAAACCAGGGAATCACCTTAATTGACATACTTAGCTGGCTATGTGGTATACAGACACTATTTACCGGGGTGTGTGTATTTCTCTCATACCATGCCTCATACCAGTTGGGATGTTACGTTCCACCTGAATTATTTGTTTCATTATTTCCAAAGCCCCATAATGACAGAGGATAAATAGGGATTTTTTACTTAAAGATTTAATGAGACGTATGTGTGGAGAGAAGAACGCGGAAAAAACCCGAATTCTATATGGGATTTTCTGCACCATTGTAGGATGCTGTAACAACATTACTATAATGCTACTGAAGACCTCAGTGGTGAACAGGTCAATTGTGGGCTAACACATTACAACCACATCATGCAGTCACATGTATCAGTCATCACATGTATTCAACTGCATTGAGCAGTCACAAATACTCTCTGAGTAATAAATATTTTCACAAATGCAAAGAAGGTCTTGAAACCCAGTTATAGATGCAGCTTATGCAGTTGCTATGAGAAAGCCTGAAAAAAAGTCAGGCTTGTCGGAATTTAAACCCTGAACTCTGCAATACTGATGCAGTGCTCCAACCACCTGAACTCAGAGCAAGTTAACTGGGAGCTGTTCATCCAAGGAGGGGTACTCCAGATTTCAAGTGACAGCGATGATCAAAGGATTTTTTTGGTTTTGAAATTTTTGATTTCGGGATTTTTTTGTGTAGGAAAATTTTGGCAAGTACTTTTTTGGGTAGCTTGTTTGAAGCAGGGATTTTTTTTGGGTATTCAAAACAATCTGAAGATTCGTGACAATTCCCATGTATCTCGACTAGGTAGGTCCTCTGGAAATTTTTAAGGCTCAGAAATTCAGCATGAGATTTTTTGGGCGTTAAATTTTGGTCCAGGGATTTTTTTGAGTTTTGTTTGAAGCCCTAGGGATTTTTTTTCGGTTTCAATTTTTGCCTCCCATTTGATCATCCCTGTCACTTGAAACCCGGAGTACCCCCCCTGGGCTGGTCACTACATTGGTTCGTAACATCTCGGGGAAGGATGAAGATGAAATGATAAACATATGAATTTCAAGAAATAAGTGATGATCTTCTTTGCATTTATTTCTTATTTTGCAGTTCCAATCCACGATATTCATATATTTATCATTTCAAATATTTTCACATCATTTAATTAACATGTCACTCACGCACCCAAGCTGCAATCCCCAAAGCCAAGGCATATTTATCAAGAACTTCCCAACAATTGCCACAGTGATAGCCTCTCCGACGCATGGAGAAAAAGCCAAACGAATAACGGTGAATTTTAGTCTTCGTAAAGCACCTGGGTCGAGCTCAAGACCAGAACGCGTCAAAATAACGACAAGAGCCATGCTTCTGAGAGTGGCGGACCATTTTTTGTCAATGTGACGAGCCACGTTAATTCCTGGCACATTTCTGAGAACAAAGCCGACTACTAGCATACCCAGCAGAGATGGAAGAGCATCTCTAGACAGTTTTCTAGTTAAAAAGCCGCCTAAAGCGGCAAGAACAACAACGCTAAAAATTCCGAAGATATTGCCGCGCGGTAAAGCATTGTCACCCAAAACAGACCATAAAACTGCCCAGCTCACTAAAACGATAAAACCTCGAGTTAAAGTTCGTCCAAAAAATCCAGAAGGAGGAAAAGTAAGTCCAAAGAAATGAATACGCCTGTTCTCATGGCTTGTTACGGCAATTTCTTGGTGACTGTCTTGATCAACCCCTTCGTCCGCCATGACTGAAAATGTACCTTTCAAGCAGACTTTCACGACGTATTATCTTTTACTTGAGAAGGACTGCTGGCTCGTGAAAGGCTCAGATGTTTTTCCTATTTTTGTTTTGATGATCATAACTTCAAATCTTTAAATGGGTCGCTGCGAAGATAATTTTTTAAGCTAACTAGCATTTTTTGTTGCTTCTCTCTTTTTATGAAAAATACAGTATAAAAATAAAGAATAAAAATTACGCCCAGGACTGCTGAGTCGCGAGTGAATGCACAGAAGAGGGTCAGGTCACGTGTCATTGATCCAAGATGGAGGTGGTTTCTCGTCTTATCAAGGTCCAGTTTCCAAACTATCTCAAATCTTTACCGATCCCCTCTACTTTCGGCGGATTTGCAAAGCTTTCCGGCAATGAGTGGGTACAGCTTGTTCCTTTTGTAGTTACGACCTCTGTGGTTGTTTACTTGGTTATTTCAGCGATCCTACCTTCCAAGCCGTCGAAGAAGGCGGATGCAGATTGGGTGAACAAGACAGAGCAGAAGGAAAAAGAGAAAGTGGCCGATATCATTCAAATAGAAGATTTAGGAGAAAAGACCGCTTTCTGTCGTTGTTGGAAGTCGAAAAAGGTTTGTGTTTACCCCCTTTTTTGTTTTTAATCTTGGGGGTCTGTGCCATTAAACATCCTCGCTCTGAACCCCCTAACCCCCTTGTTTCCGCCTTTTGAGGACAAAAATGTACATACATACATAACCTTTACTTTAACTCGAATTTTAGAGCATCTGCAACATTCAGCTGATATCTTCGAGCAAAAAAATTAAGGTCTTTAAAACTGGTATTTAATGATACTATTGTTTGGGGACTCGGTAATAAAATATCCTTAAGCTCTATTACGTAACACACTCGTGCATTGTGAGCTTCTTATTCAAGGTCAGTTTCTCTTCCCAATAGTGTGCTCAGTCTTTTCGATGTTTCTTACACTTATTTACGTGCTCCGCCCACCTCCCCGTAATGATGAACTACCACCCACTTGTTAACACTCCCCACTCCTACCACCTTGGGTTGAGTCTCCCATATAATAATCATTAAGGACCCATTAAGGCATTGTTTGCAGATGGTCTGAATGAGAATACATCACAAGTTAGGGTAACTAATCAAACGTTTAAAGACTTTGTACACATCTCTTAAAATCAGGAAAAGTTGAGTTTCACCCCGCAAGAAAGACAAGATCAAACCACCAACACATTCCCCCTGCAGAAAAAGAGAACATATGTCTTCAAGAAATTAAATGTATTAACATTTTCACCAACCCCCTTAGAAATTACTTTGTAACCAGGAGCGGATCCAGGATTTTAAATGGGGGTTGGCTGATACTAATTGGCCTCCAATAATATTCTATATGTTAATTTATTTTGAGTTGTCCTATGTTTGTCCCAAAACATGGTGATTTAGGAAGGACGAAGGCTGGCTTTTTGGGACTCACATGTTTCTATATGCTTTGCAACCAACCTATTTCCATTTGTTTTTTCACATATGATATTTTTTTTGGTGGGCTGTCCTAAAGGGGAGTGGCTAGCCACCTGAACCACCCCTGGTAACCCCCTTACCCCAGGATTCCTTTGTCAAACCTGTATGAATCAGTTGTGTTGTGAAACCCTTTAACCGATAAGACTGATCACCATCCAAACATTAATTTCACAAGTATAACAAAAATGACCACTTGATTGCTATGCGAAGTATCATCAGTTCCACAGGAAAAGTACAGTTCGATAACTCGAACTCGGATAACTCGAATTCCCTGCTAACTCAAACTGAATTCCCTTCACTTGAACTGTTTTTGTTTCCCTTCAGAGTTCAAGTTACGGGGGTTCTACTGTATTTAGAACAGTGTGAAGATACTGATTTCTGATCTATGGGTTTTAGCGGGCTTAAATCAGTGCAGTGACAGGTTTTCTCCTTATTTTCAGTTCCCATACTGTGATGGAAGCCACAATCAACACAACAAGGAAACTGGTGACAATGTTGGCCCCCTAGTGTGCAAGCGAGCAAATCCATCTTCATAATGTGTCTATCATCATTATAAGGATACAGCAATTTGTGTTTGGTTTATGTTGACTTTATTCTCAGTTGTACAATTATGTACTTGTAATACATGATTTTCTGTCAACATGTACGTTGTGCTAGTAACTACATTAACTAAGAATGTACTGTCAATGTATGAACTTTCACCAAGGTCCATATGCTTTGGAACATTTTATATAATAAGCAATAAATTTGCTAAATTTTCCAGGAAGTGCAAAATTAAAAACAGACAAAGGTTAATGACTCTAGTTTGTTGTTCCTGCTTTCTAATATATTGCAAAGAACCACTCGTATTTGTTTAAGTCAGGGTAAATAAAATGAGACTGTAAAAGTATTCTTGTGTGGCAGTGCTGAGACTGTTGGCAGAACTTGAACTGCTGTCGTGGTCACATTAGCCTCGATCACGATTACGATAGCCGGTCGATAACGTGAGGTCGTAAAATGGAGACGATTTTAATCGAGCAAAAAATCTCGCGTTTCCCAGAAACGGTGAGTGATCCAAATTTTGGGGGCACGAATCGTCTTCGTCTTCGCCCGTCTTCACCTTGCTCGTTGAATTAGCGTAAGAAATAACAGTGAGATAAAAGGGAAAATCATCTCTTTGATCTGCTAGATCCCTGCGCATCTTGCCATTCTAAATTTACGCTCCAAAAAATTCATCTGTGCATGAAAACCCTGAGAGCCGATATCAGTAGTGTGACCTTCCCAGAATTTTTTACCTAGGTAAAACAAAATTCCAGATGAATTTACCTCGGGAGAGCTTTGATGAATTTGCCCTAGGTAAATCGGCTTTGCCCAGGTAAAAGTCTGTAGTGTGACCACAGCTTATACCTTGAACATAAACGTTTTGTGTTTCGTACTTTGATCCACCTAGGGTTGACCATGTAAAATCTGCCTTTCGTGCTAATGACTACCACGAATGGATCTTCCTAATTCTCCCAAAAAGCTAAACCTTGCCTTCGTTCCAGTAAAGCAGAGCGTTAAATCAACGTACCAACAAAAAAAAACTGCGCTTAAAGGGAATTGGGTCTTGGAATAATAAGAGAGATTTTATTTATTAAAGGTACGTCACCAGTAGAACACTCATTGAGCCGTGACAGTGACGAAAATCTTTGTTCTGCGAATAATATCACCGTTGTATCAGACACAAAAGTTGAAGAAGGAAAGATGATCAGCAGCGAAAAATGCGTGGATCTTTCAACTGCTTCTCCATATTGCTATCACATATCACAGAGAATGTATGGAAAACTAAATTAAAATTACTTGTGTTGGCGTCAGGCGTGAAGAGTAGTTATCAACCTTCCCAGGGTCTCAACAACTCGTTTTAAGAGCCTGCATACAAGCAATTGACACATAAATAACTTCAATACCAACAGTTTTAATATTCGTACCTTGCACAAAAGTGTGATCGTGTCAAACCATATTGATACGTACATGAGTAATAATTAAAAGAAGATTATATATATTTTACGACTGATTACTGTATGTACGCGAAGAAGCACTGCGATGTTTACTGTTTTGACTTGTGCATAGCCTAGCGGGCGATTAAAAGTGCAACAGAATTAAAGTGCACGAGGAAAGAGGGATGGGAACCCTTCCTCCACCTTCTCCCTCGCGCCTTCATATACTCGCCTGCCTTAAGTTTTCGCGCGATTTTATGAATTTGCGCGCGCCTTTTTCTTAATTCCCTTTTCCCTCGCTTCAAGGGCGTGCCAAGCAAGCTAACTTGTTCTGCAATGTTTAAAACATTTCGATCGCGAATAATTAGACAATACATGATATTCCCTCATTTATCCTTGGTTTGTTCGCTACTTATAAGGAGCGTAATAGTTCTAGTGAAAGTTTACATTAAAGATCTGTAACAATGCATAATATCAGCCGTATTAGCATTCTAGTCATGCCAACACATGGCCAAAAATCAATGACCCCGCATTGTTGCGGGGGAATACGAACTTAGGAAGTTTTTTTTTTTCACGCGTATGGTGCTCTTTCGAGTAAAATACAGTAACCGGTGGTCTGAGTGACAGGCCTTTCATGAGAAGGACAGGAAGAGGCAGAGAAAAAATCTGAAGCCCTTTTAAGATTATGTCCCAGAACCCAAATTTTGAATTCCTTATTTCCGAGATGAATCGGTTACTTAATCATTAAATGTTTGACAAGCATATAGGAAAGAAATTCTTGTGCAAATCCTCTCTGAACCTGGAAAGAATCCACTCCAGTGGGATTTAAAGAATATTATTGTTATTTCATTTTTATAACTTCTCTAATGGTAAATTATATTATTATCGTATCAGCTGTACAACGAGAAATCTCTTCTCAAGAAGTCCATTGAAAATACATTTGTTTCGAACGCCTCACATTTCACACTGGCTATTTGCCTGGAGCAGAGGAGAGTGGTTTAAGATCCACTCAGGGTAACCCTTTCACAAGTTTTGCAGCACATCTTACTCCAACTTGATGAAGAGCACCAGTTTAGGCGAATAGCAGCTTTACAGTAGCTTGATTTATCGCTTGTGCACTGCTGTGGATCTGAAAAGTGGGGAATAAACGAGCCATGAGATATATGTGCTCACCCTGGGTGCCAGAGACTTTTCACGCGCTGTTCACGGCTTCGGCTTTCAAGCCTCAAACTATTTTTTTCTAAATTCTCTGCCCTGTTCTCGATTGGCCAGGTAAGTAGACTAGGCTTTAAAAAACAATAATTCAGAGGTCACTATTTCAATGTTCGCCAGGGTCACTGAGACATAGTTCTCTATCAATTAAGAAGGAATTGGAGAGTTTCTCGCTGCTCAGCATGTTGCAAACAATAAAACAAGACGAGTTCACTTTTCATTTCACTATACATGGGTGTTAACGCGATTATCCCATAGCGATCCAACGATAGTAGCCACCCAAGAATTTACGCCTTTTTTCTATTGGTCATGAATCAGAAGTTAAAAAAAAGATTCTGAGCAGCGGCGGAGCCAGGGGAGAGGCCCGGCGGACACGGCCTCCCTTATTTTGAGACCAAAAAAAATTTTTTTGGAGACCGCCCCCCCCCCTCCCCCACCGCTTATCTGAGGGCTCTGGATGACCGCCCTCCCCTCCCCCCCTCATCTGAAGGTCTGAATCCGCCACTGCTGAGGGAAAAGCTTCAACTACAACAGATATAAAGCCGCAAACACAGGACAGCTGCGCATTCCTGATTTGATACGTACTGCACGAATGTACAAGATATGTACGTCGCGGTATCACCAGAGGTTTTGCTACTTTCTTTTTTTTCAGTTTCTCTGCCAAAGCCAATAGAGTTTGAGCTCCGACGGTAAGGAACCCCCGAAACTAGAGTTTCCTAAAGGTGGAAAGTAACGAGCGGAGGCTGTTACTTTCCGCGCTCTACGGTTAAACATTATCGAGGTTAAATTAACAAAGGCCATTTCTACACAAAGCAATCCAGAAAAAATCTCGCTTTCCGCATGGTTATAAGGTGAATAACAACTACATGAATAGCCCCAAGTCGTAAAACCAGAACTCTATTCTGATGTTGCATGACTTCCTGTAAGGCCAGCCCAGGAGCGAAAACAACCACAAAACTAAATTTACTCTGCAAACCTACTTTCGGGAGATTTTGGAGAGCATCTACCACTTGAAATCTTTATATCATCCAATGCTATATCACTGGAAAAACCATTGCCTCGAATACCCTCGAATATGATCTGAAAGAAAAGAAACCGATATCATAAATAGGGCATTGCAAGAATAAGGCGTCGAACCATTGCACTTATAACAACAGGTTGAAATGCTCTACGGTAATCTACAGAGTTCTGAATTAGTTTTGATAAGAGAGACCATTCAAGTAGGCTTCGTCCCATATTCAGAGGCTTTGTTGGTTTACTGTTTAGACATTCGGTTTACCCTATTTATGTTTGATCAGTGCCATGGGTTCTTTTACATCACTCTCGCTTGTTTCTAATTCATATGCAATGATAAAGGACATAAGGCCAAAGGCAGAAACTCGCATTGGTATTCAAAATATAAAATAATGATAATAATAATAATAATAATAATAATAATAATAATAATAATAATAATAATAATAATAATAATAATAATAATAATAATAAAAACTGAGCACGAGAGCTAGGGTGGAAAAAAAGAAGCTCTCCAGCTTTTTCCTTTCCCATCGTCCACTGCGCACTTCTGTCTCCCCCAGCAGCCTCCTAGTGGGACAAGAAGGGCTCTGCGTAAAAGAGACAGTCAGGAAAAAAAACTGGGGCTACACAAGGGGAAATGTAGCCGATTCCCCCTTTGAATGTTACTTCACTGAAGTGATCCCCCCTAATAACGTTTGATTACTTTAGCGACCCCCCCCCCTTGTCTTCATTTTTCAACAAATTTGATTGGTCCCACCTCTGAATCCTTCCAAAGTTTTCAGTGATCCCCCTTTTGGGTTCTCAGTTACCACTGATCCCCAGTTTTGTTCTCTTAGAAGTCAAGTGATCCCCCCCACGAAGTCCTCCGCTCCGCCTCCCCCCCCCCCCCCCCCCCCCCCCCCCCAGGCGATAAATAATGACCAGTCGCTAAGTTCACTGCAACGATGAACAAAGTATTCAGTACGATTACCTGGTATGGAAGATAAGAATTAATGGTTAGACGTTCATTATGCCACTCGTTTTTCTGGTTTCCAGATTTGTGCCATATTCTGCGATCTCTACCCCTTAGGAGCCTGTACATAACACGAAGCCAGCCCATTTTGTCACCGTACATGTGATACCAGAAGTTAAGGCAGACACTCCTAGCACGTACTACGGGACTTATTAATCTCGCGCGGTCATTCCTTCGTTGTGGATGAGAAGCTTCTATATATACGTAAAAACCTGAGAAATAAACAAATTATTGTTGAAAACTCCATTAAGCGGCCACCCTTGGTGTGCCGTTAAGCGGCCGCCTAATGGAGGTTGACCCCTCAATAGCGGTTCGTCAGAAACCGGGCTATACATTAGCATAATCTTTAGCAGAAACATCACTTTATTTTAAAACAAATACGCGACTGGGGCAGCAGTACTGGTCCACGATCGGTCGTCACCGTCTATGTCAGACTGTTTTCCTTCATTATATTCTTAAAATAAAACCAAACGTAATCCGTTAAGTGCTTTATGGTCGCTTAATAGATGTGACAACAATGGGACAATTCTCATTGGCACGGCCAAAAGGCGGCCATGGCTGCTTAATAGAGGTTTAATTCCTTATTCTTTTCTACAATTATTTCGGGACTTTGATTACTGGCTGCTTAATAGAGGGTGGCCACTTATTGGAGAGGTTGAACTGCATTTAATGCCTGGTAAAAACCTGAGGAATAAACAAACGGCTAATAGTAAGGAGAAGAATGGCTCAGGTTCAAACGTTTCTTTCCATATTTTCGGTCAGACGAACCTGTATTCATCGGACACCTCTTGGTCATCAGTGACCTTAAGATATATCGTTTCTGCCCACAGAAAAGACGGTGGGCGAACATGATTTTCCATAACTAGGCGGTCAGTATTGTATCCTCGTTTTACCCGGTAGCTTAGCCGTTTCCCAGGGCTAAGAGAGGATCTACTTGTATTTACGGTTACGGGTGCGGGTTATTTGCCCATACCCGTTCACGGACACGGTCTATCTTAAGATCTCTAATAAGCTTAGTTGTTTCTTACTAAGGAGCTGTAAGGGGGAACGAAAACAGGTGCAAAAGAGGAAAAATAGCGTGAGTTGAAAACTGTTCTCTAGCTTCTTTCTTCAACTTGGATGTTTGTTACCAACCTCTTGACGTTCCCAAGGTGTGATCGTTAGTTGGTCCAGTCTTCTTGCTCAGCGTACTTCCACTTAACAACGCCCAATCAAACTGATCTAGCCTGGAGGCGCGCACATTTCTCCACTCACAGAATCCTTCTTCAAACGAGCAAGACATGTTTGCTAAAACTGTTGGAGAATGGATAAATAGACGACAAATTAATAGATAAATAAATAAATAAAAAGGAGACAAATAAATTTACGATAAATAAATAAATAGATATATAAATAACGAGTTAGAGGTTACACTTCCATGAAGTGGTTCATTGTGTTGTATACTTCATCGAATTGGAATTTGAAAATCTTGGTTGTTAAGGAAAGGGGGAAATCGGAGTACCCGGAGATAAAGTAATCGAAGCAAAAGACAGGAAGCCACTACATAATCCACAAACGGCCTCCTAAACCGGGATTCGAACCCGAGAAACTTGGGAAGACGCACGCGCTGCGCCACAACTGTTTCTAAACTCCTCTGCAAATCCTTGTACAATTTACGGCACTCGACTCTACAGAAACATTTACTTCTCAAACTCATTAATAATTCATAAAGAAAATACAAAGGAAATTTTAAATGTTTAATGAGTGTTTAAAATCAGATGAAAAACTGCTCATTTTTGTATCTTTGATTTCTACCTCTAAAATCATTTTGTTTGAGAAGTGATATCAAGCATTCGACACAGTGTTTCATCACGAGATGAAACACCTCGAAGTTCTTCAGAAATACTCGTCGTATTATCAACTCTACTTCTCGGTGTTTCATCTGGTGATGAAACACTGTATCTCATGCTTGATACATTACATCAAATAAGTTAGCAACGTGCAGTCCACTTACCTTCTCCTTCACAGGGAACTTTTCTGCAAATTCTCATCCGAGGCGGCCTAGCATCACGTGGACAGTTTAATGAGACAGCTCCTAAAATATTTCTGCACTCCACTAAACGTTGTTGAACACTATTTCCACAGCTGCGAGAACACTAAAACACAAGGAAATAGAACCAATTTAACCCTTAAATTCCCAAGATTTGATTGCATGTATTAATTCTCGCAAATGATTGCTATTTTAATATATTTTATTGAAGTAATTTGGGGTTATATCAATATAATATCATCTGGCTGATAAATTTACGTATTCTCACCAGCAGTATGTTGGACAATGTATTGCATGTTCTAAGAAGTTACATGCCACTCCCTTCTGGGAGTTAAGGGGTTAAAAAAATTCAAACACTTTCTCCCCATCTGTCTTGATAAGCTATTGCTTGTTGAATTTTAGTAAGGCAAAGTTGTGCTGTCTTCAAATTGTTCCGCTCTCCAGATTGTGATCCGTTTTGACAGTTGCCAACTAGATTTCTTGAGATAATAGAACCAATTGCATAAAGTATCTTTAGAGGAGTAGAGGGGTCCCTTTCTGCAGCCAATCTCTCTGTTGTAAAGGATGCTCTTGCACGGATCGGGAGTAATTCGGCTAGGCTCGATTACCAGCCGCTGTTCGGGAAAATGAGGATCAAAGACCGGACCCGGGAGACGGCGGAAATCGAGCCTATAATTCGGCCAAGGGCGGTTTAACAAGCATGGGAATGCAAGGAGAACACCAGACTCTTAAAAGGTTGCTTTATGAATCGGGACTTGGTCCCTCTTTGTTCTGTCATACCATTGCTCGTATCATTATGTCTAATGGTTTTAGCAACTTTTGAATAGCAGCGTTTTCGCGGCCAGTGTATTTATCGACGGCTAATCACTATTTAAGTATCCAAGAATCCAGCAACGAAGAAAATGTTGGCAATAAAGACAGTAACAGAACTTTCATCAAAAGGACTTGGTGTGACTGTGATGTCAAGTGTGATGCAAATGCCAACTAGTTGTTCAGCTGACTAAACTTACTGCCTTTTTTACGTTCTTGTTACCTACACCGTCGCCGGACCTTTAAGTCTCTAAAATAATATGGCGCCGGAGTGCCAGTCTAAGGGCTTGCCTGGGGTCCCCCACCTCCATATGTAACCAGGTGAGATAACCCGCCTGTCCATACGGCTACCCAACCTATCATGTAAACGTGATCAAATTATAATGAGAGATTATATGAACAGGCGGGTTACCCCACCTAAGCGGGTTACCTCACCTACCTGGAGTCCCCCACCTCCTTGTAAACAAGCCCTAAAAAGACCCTACGTACCTGAGTCCAGTTACCCACAATCCATTCGGCCGGACACGGTTGATCGTTACATATCTGTTGTTTCTCAGGCCTTTCCGCAGTACACAGTGTAAAGTTGACCTGGCGATCTACTAAAACTCCTCTACATTCCACTGTACGATTTTGGCTGCCGCCATTGCAAAGTGAAGAACACTTCGTCCAATTGGACACTTTCCAAACATACCTGTAACGCACAGAAATAAGATTTTCATAAACGTCACTTTACAAACGTTACGAGATTTACTTAGCTGACATTTGAGGCGTAGGAGGTAGTCAAGGGATTGCGTTTTGTTGTTTGTACTTCGAGTAGTAGAGCTACGCTGTTAGTGGGAACATGGAGTGAAAAGCTTCGTTGATTTCTTGGGGATGTATAGAGCCTATTTGAAAGACAAACTTTTGTTCTGTATATTTTTTTTTCTAAGTGTACGTCACTCACCTTAAGGAACACAAAACGTCTTCCCAAGACGATCGCAAATATAGTCATAACAATTGGAACAGACAGCTAGTTTAAAAACAAGTATTGTAGCTTTGGTTAAAGGTGCGTTTTACGGAGTCTCTATAACTGTCGACGATGTTATGTATGTTTTTATTTAACTCCTAAAATAACTATGTTATTTGGCAGTAGTTCGGGCTTTTACTTCTTATTGTATAACGTTTGAAACCTTTCGCCATTTTCTCGACCCTTGTACAGCTCTGCACTGCCGACTGAAGCAGCTAGGCCACCGCGCTTTCTGCTGTTTCTTTTTCTGTCAACTGTCCGTGAAATTGACGTCATTTTTAAGAATGTCGGAATATCGGCAGACATCTTCCAAATTTGTCAACACTAGCTGGTTATGAAGAATTGGGTTGGGAATTTAAGATTATCAGAAACGGAAAATTATTGTAAATGAACAGTAACTGAAATAATCCACGCGCCATGAAGTTTACTAAATGTCTAATACGTACATTTAGTTACACCGTCGACAGTCATAGACTCTGCAAAAAACACTGGTAACCAAACCTTCCTTACTTGTTTTTTTAAACTTGCCTTATTTCAGTTGTTACTCCAATTTGACAATAGGCACTCCCTGCCACAGGTTATTAAATCCCGAGTGATTTCTTTTAACATCCCCCAAAGCAAACATTTCCCTTCCCCATCCGCTCCACATCTTAACCACCATTAGTCATTGCTTACTGGACCTTTCGACGAGTTTGAATACCTTATTATGAAGAAAACTACGACGGGCACCAAATTGTGGTCCCGTATGTTACAGCTTAAGTTAACGATAGTCTCTTTAAGTGTGAGATACCCATTCCTGACGATCGATGTATGTATACCTCTCGCAAGCTGTCAAGTTACATGGTCTCGTCAAAGGTTCGGGTTTGATCAACGCGAAACAATTATCCTTGGCAACCTCTGATTTGTTATCATTTCTGCGGCATTTATATAAGTGTGTTTGGATACCTAATGAGTAGAAAAAACAAATAAACAAAAAGCAAAACATAAATAAAGACAAAATGACAACTTGAACCAATAAACAGATTACGTTGTTTATGGCTAAGGGAATGGGTGGTTTAGAATGCATAAATATTGGCGTGCAATGATCATCGTCCAAATGTCGTTTATATTTTTGCTCATAAGCATACAAATTAACCCATAAAAAAATAATAAAAGAGCAGGTTAATTTGAGCAGTTTTTTTCAATGTTCAGCTCTTTGCAAACAATAACAAAGGAAATAGCAGCAATCAAAAACTGCGAAATTACTGGGAGGTAAAACGTTAATGAGCTCATACATTCTTTGTAAAGTTTCGAGTTTTCTACAGCAAATTTCTCCGACACTATTCGCTACACCGGGCTCAAATTTCAGATATAACTGAAATCTTTACGCTCTTTCAGTATTCAATATTCAGAGATTTTATTTCATCAGCTTCATCAGATGATAGTAAGCATATGTCAATGAGGCAAAAATGTAAACAAGGATTTTCCTATAGCTCGTTAGAAGTCTATTCGCTATATCGGGCTCAAATTTCAGATAGAACTGAAATCTTTACGTTCTTTCAATATTCAATATTCAGAGATTTTATTTCATCAGCTTCATCAGATGATAGTAAGTATATGTCAAGGAGGCAAAAATGTAAACAAGGATTTTCCTATAGCTCGTTAGAAGCCTGGTTTTCACTGGTGCGTAAGCACAAGCACAAGCACATGTGTAAGCAAGTGAAAACTGCCGCCACATAAGCATAAGCACCAGAAAAACGGACAAGTTTGTCTTTCTCTTTGCTTGACTAGTGAAAACGGGATCGACATAAGCACAAGCCTAAGCACAAGGCCGTGGACCAATCATAGGATATTTTGACCCCGACCTCATGCGAACATATCAAAAGCCGTCCGCCATCTTGTTTATCGTCGGGTTGAGGAGAGCTGGTATCGAGAATTGAGTCAAATATGCCATTCTGCGCGTGCGTATGTCCTTATGCTTATGCTTAAATGCTTATGCGCTAGTGGAAACCATTGGAACACATTAGAGCAAAATCGAAACCTAAAGCCCCCGCTTCGCATTCAGGGTAAACGACCAGGGTAAGGAGGTGGGGGGAATGGATTTCATCTTGCGTCCAAGGCTTTCATTGTAACTCTACGGAAAGGTGACGGTTCTCCTCAATTTTCTCTAAACACTTCGAAAGTCTTCCTTCTAAGGTCCACTTTTCCCGCATATTGACGAACCGCGCAAACCTAGCTTTAAATGAAGCTCAACTTATTCGTTAGCTTTAGTACCAACCTTCCCCGCAAGTTTTGGAACAGTCAGACCACTTGAAATGCGACCAGAAGAACTCGCTCCCATTAGTGGTGGGTTTGTAGAACTGGTAGCGTAGACTAATAGGTACTGCTGGCTGGTCACTCATCTTAACCTGCATGTGAATCGATTAGAAATTTTAATCAAAGGCTGTTTTCAAGCAATCTTTGCTGTTTACTTTTTACAAGAAGTTTCCGGATACGCCCGTTGAGCTATGATTTAGCGTTGGGCTTGCAGCTGCAATAACATACACGGAATACTATCTGACCTTCACAACAACTCTATCCTTGATGGGTCCCGGAGTGGTTATTGCCTCTATGTCGCCTTCTCTCTTGTAAGTGAATTTTGTCCCAGCAAATTCATAAACTACGGATACTGACGTCTGTTCAGAGCCTACGAAAGGAGCCTTTTCTGCTCCCATGGAGTCTAGAACTGTTAATAATAAAACCAAATGGAATTTAGGAAAATAAATGTCATTTCCCGAACAGTAGCCTGCCAGCAAGCTCTCCATTTATGGCGAGCGAAGCGGACCGCCAGGTAACGCACTCACGTCACCTTTCGCGTGTTGCTTTCGCGCGACTTCTCGCGACCAACCCAAATGGAGAGCTTGCTCGAAGCTACCCGAACAGCGGCTGGTGATAGAGCCTAGGAAAAATCTACAACTGTAGCTGTACAATGAGAAATTAGTACCATCACTAACCTAGGAAGTTTGGAGACGAGTCTTCAAGCATGATATCGGTTGCACCCACTGGACACTCTAACAATGTTTCAAGATCTATAAAATCAATAGATTATTTAAAAAAAAACCTCTTCAGTCTGTGGGCACATTAATACATATTTAAATATCAGTAAGGTCAGTATCATCTCATTCATTTCTTCAGTGCAAGATGAGTTATTATAATAATAGCCAGCCATACAGGTTTCGCAGCCGCCTCACTTCGTATTTCTACTATTTTGCGGGTCAGCACTTTCCGTAATTTTATTTGCAAAGAAAATAAACGCTGTTCTTGTTGATATGTTGTTGTTTCCGGAAACCCCGAGAACAAACCTCTTACCAAAACCGAGTTAAAAAAGAAAGCAAGCTAGAGTTTACATATCAATCAGCAGGATTAAAAAATTTAGTGCAATGGTCACAACAAGTCGGAGATACTCTAAAGTAACTATCGCACAAACTGAAAGAATCTGTACCCAGTCCATTTTGTGCAGTCTTACCAGTTACTCGTTAGCAGAGAATTTACTAGGTTCTAAATAGCAAAATCACAACTCTATTACAAATAATGCAAACTTACAAGCAAGAGAGATAAAACCCCAATTGTAATCGGATTTTTTTTTCAAGTTTGTGCATCCACAACTGATTTTGTTTTATCTTTAAATGTGGTATCTTTAAATGTTAATGATTAAATTTCACACAGTTTGGTAGCCAGTTCTTAAAGGGACAAAGTCTGCTGATGCACATGCGCTTTAGATACTATTCCTTAGCTGATTTGCATACAACAAGATACTGTTTTCAACCAAATATGATAAAATAATTTTATAGGATGAGAAAAAGAATACTCAGGAACAAGTTTTCAGTAAAAGATCAAAGATCGAATGCAGCACAAGGCAAGGTTGAGGCGGATTTCTAGATGTATCCGACCTTTGATTTCGGGTTGAGCTAAGCGGTTTTCAAAGTGGCAAAACTAGTGTCTAGGTCAGATCGGTCCCAAAGCTGACTATGCCCCTTTAATTGCTGAATAAGGCTATATGACACAACTTTTTTAAAACCAAACTGCGTGTGATAGAGGAGGCAATGTGACCGAGCGGTTACAGTTTTAGACTTAGAAGCAGGCCACGAGCTCAAGTCTCGCCGTGATCTCTAGCTGGATAAAAGATTGTTCTTTCTAGGTATATCCTAAATGGGTTTTCGCGAAGGGGATTCAAGTTTAATCATAAGTCGAAACGTACGCAAAGAATGCATACAATACTGTTGAAGACGTAAAAAACACTACTCCACCCCCCCCCCCACCCCTTTAACACCAATTAAGTCCACAGAAAGCTCATTCCCAGGCTCTTTTCTCCCTCACTTCAAAGGGAGCTGAGAACAAGGGTCGGTTCACGACAATTGTGCACGTACCTTCTTTCGGTAGCGTGGTGATGGTCCCAGCTGTTGCTGAACACATATCGTTGTTACCGCCACAGACACCGCAGCTGTCAAGAGTTTTGTTCGATCCGATGACACCATCACAACCGATTTTCTACCAGAAAAAAAAAGCGCAGCACCGTTAAGAACAACCAGTAATGAGCGTAAGCAACGACACAGCGACAACAGTGAAAACATCGCTGAAAATGACAAAATGAACTTGCGTTGTTTGAAACTTTATCGCGTCTATTTGGACCCTTTTAATTTGTTAAATGAAGGCGCTTTCTCCTGGCGTTGAATTCTTAAGAACTTTATTCAGGTTCAAAAAGAGAAACGAAAATTCGTCGTCGTATATTAACGGCCCCCATAAAACGTCGCTTCAGGAGTCGTGCGGTGACGTCAAGGAATGTATCAAAACACCTGATGCCCGTGCATAGCTGTTGTTTTGCTCATAAACCAATTCTTTTTTTTACTTTTTCCGTTGTTTTCGTCGTCATCGTTCCTTTGAAGATACAGAATAAGACGCTGTTTATATGGAGTGGGGGACCCCGGTCTAGTGGGGTACGTTTCTTTTGTTTTGTGTCCCCCAGAGCGTGAAAACAAAAGAAACCAACCCCACTAGACCGGGGTCCCCCACTCCATGTAAACAGGCCCTATTTCTTGGTTTGCAACCACGTGACAAGGCGGCCATGTTGGATGTGTGTTGGTGGTCAATGCAATAGGATTTTTCCTCGAAGAATTTACATGAAAATAGGGTATGGTTCACAGAGGAGAGAAATGCTTTTGTTCTGACCACCAACACACCACCAACATGGCCGCCGTGACGTCACGTGTAAAGCAGCAATAGTTTACGAAATACCTGACATTTTCCCTGGATGCAGACATCAAAGGATTTAAGGTTATCGTAACATGCAGTTCCGTTTTCTACTTCCACGTTAACCACGTCTACGCTTTGGCCGTCGTTGTTTGCTTCACAGAACTGGTGACATGGTTCAACAGGTATTTCTACAAACAAAAATGTTTAACCCTTTCAATCCTAGAAGGGCCCAAAGTACAACTTAGACAAAAATTCTTATAGTGTTTTCACTCACGTGGCCAACATCTATACAATTTTTTTGGAACAAAAGAAAGTGTTAGCGTAAGAAAAGAGTTCAACTCCTACAGGACTGGTTTGGGACACCAACATGGCCGCCGTTTCATTGTTTTGGGACACCAATATAGCGGCCGTGACGTCATGTGAAAACACTCTACATCATTCTGGAAACTGCTAAAAAATAATAACAATAACAATAACCCAAAACCAATAATAACAAAGTAACACATGAGGGTACTGCCAAACACGTTTCTCAAAGTTTTTGTGAGAAAGTTTTTTTCTAATAAATAGTCTACTAGTAATTTAATCCTCCTTTAGAAATTCACAACTTAATAGAGGCTGATTGTAGGTTAACAATGACTGAACAATATAAGGAAGGTCTGAACAAATACAATAAAACCAGAAAGCTTACGGTTGTTGACTGTCATAAATCGCATTAGTCCCAGTCCACACGGGTTGTTTTCGAGCGTTATATCATCCAGCGCGAAATCACTGAGGTATCCATCACCTCGAATGCCTTGGAAGACAATCTTCAAAGGATAATGAAAGCAAACAGTTAATTTCTGTGTGGTAATAGATAAAAAAGGCTCATACAACGAGCATCATCATCAAACATGATGCTGCGACAGTTCCAAGCTGTCCTATCTCTCCTGGTACCTCCAGTTCGTTTGTTGCCACTCTCATTATTACAAGTTGACTCTAAGTATGAAGATTCAACAGGTGAAATAACTGAAATTAAATGACCACCTCTACAACTATACGGCTACGGCTTATGATGCTGTACAAGGTGACAATTTCTGGGGGTACGGAAAAGCAAATTTCCTCTGAAGTTGTTACAAGTTGCTGCAAAAACTGGTTATAACTCTTGTGCTTACGATATGAAAGAAAACCACGAGGATAAATAATGAAGTGAAAACTTGTCTTTGCACGTGAAAATGTAAAAATCGTCTGTGTCAAGGTGAGGTCTATAAAGATTTAATTTATTGTTTACCCTGTATGGCTTGTTGCTAAATATCGTGGTAGGCTTGTGAAACACCCATCTATTTCCTCTATTCTTATTTATGCTCCAAACCACTTTTTCGTCCTAAGGCAAGACATATATCAGGCTCTATTAGTAAAGATAATACTGCATCTCGTCGAAGGAGGACGCATAATTCTTTCCAATAACTAAAACTTAGGGACTTAGGGCCTGTTTCGCGAAGGTGGGGGTCCCAGATAGGTGAGGTAACATGTGGTAGGTCACCTCACCTATCATGTAAACGTGATCAAATTAAAATGAGAGATTATACGGACAGGCGGGTACCTCACCAACCTGGGGTCCCGCACCTTCAGGTAAACAGGCCCTTAATTTTGATTAAATAGTGCACATAAAGAAGCTTTGCGAGTACACGTACATGAAGACAGAGATCCTGTATTGCGGTCCGTTCAGTCAAAGCTTAACAAAAACAGTGGGAGAAGAAACTAAAAATAGTTTGAACTGTCTATCAGTTACAAGGGCTATATCACGGCTGTCTAAGGTCACGATATAGATAAGTATTCGGCATGTCATGTATCTACCTAGTCTGCTACGCAGCCGTTTTTAGTGTCGTCACGCAACGCTTCTCTGTGGGGATGAGCGTTGCCTGACGACACTAAAAACGGCTGTGTAGCAGACTAGTATTTACCGTGTCTGTTTTGATGATAAGTTGAAGTTCTCCCATATGAATATCACCTCCCCATGCATGATACCAGAACTTTAGACACGCAACACGCATGCCTATGTACTTGCTAACGAGGCGAGCCTTCCATCCGGGCTGGACAGGTCGAGAAGTCTCCAGATACACGTAATGTCCTAAATCATAAAACGAAAACAATAAATCAATATAATGCGGAGGTGAGGAGATTTAATAAAAGACTTACAGATATAAACTTTTGGAGAATTATGTAGTCCATGGATATAAGATCCTCTAGATTTTTACCGGGAATTTTTTTTTCTGCGGGGCCTATTCGTTTCGGGGCTACCTGTTGTACGTCAACGAAATGTATTGATCAACAACACATGAGAAGACAACTCGTTAAAAGGGCTCGTGAGGACATAGTCTTTTTCCTTCAGTTGTTTTAACGAAATAAACTAAATAATATATATAAAAATGATGGTTTCTATATTTTCACAGTCTTGATGTGACAGCATGTATAGTGCTTTAATGGGAAGAGAAGGTAAAACAAACCGCTTCGATAGGTTGTCTCATGCCGACTATGCAATTAACTTTGACTTAAAGAATGTCACTCAAGATCAGACAGACATCTTATTCTAGCTCTTAACGTTTGATTTTATAATATGTAATATACCAACCACGGCGTCCTTTTGTGTGGTCAAAAGAAGGTCCTGTGCCAGCCGTCGGAGTGTGTCCACTGCGGCGACGCCAATCAAAATCATCACTGGGATTATTGGTCCATCCACAGAAGCCCTTTTCAAAGTCACAGTCGATGTTCGCTGAGGGGAATGGATCAGTTAAGATTTTGGGTAGCTACCCACCTACCCCTCCCCTATCCAATGTTAACATTAACTTCTTGCATAGTGCAATATATTGGGTTAGGGGAGAGATACCCTGAGAAATAAAGCTGACATTTCGAGACGCCACCACTTGACTTCCCGCGAAATGATGTCTGAGAAACGACAGCAGAAATTTCATACTGATGACGCGTCACTACCCAGATCTGGGTAGGCAGAATTTGCTTCAACCATTCAGAAGAACCACGCATATCCGATTAGTGACGCATCATCAGTATGAAATTTCTGCGCTCGGTTCTTGAATATAATTTTTCGGGGAAACCAGTGGTGACGTCGCGAAATGTCGGCTGTTTTTCTCACGCTGGGGTTAGAGTTACATTATCTAGTGAAATCGAACAAAAAAGAGGGCTTCTTCAATCGTCTTGAAACATTGGAACCTCCCCTCAACGGATACATGTTGTTTGTTTAAACACCTCTTTACAACGGTCCAACCACCCTACAAAAGTTTCCTCTCTTTCCAAGGCAGCCATATTGGACCAAGAGGTTGAGGTGTCGGTTTACGGCTAGTACATTTTTCTACTTTTGAATTTTGGTAAACTACAACTTATTCAAGTTCAAATGAATAGTAATAGAGCGGTTTCCACTTGACTGTCGAAAGTAATTGAGGAATTGGTTTGGTTTTGGTTTTACTACGCCCTTTGGTTGGCTAGTGTATTTACTTTGGTTTTGGTTTTACGACAGTCAAGTGAAAACCGCTCTATGACAAAGATAATTCCTACAGGCGTTTTATGTGGCTGTACTGGCGTTCTAACGAGCAACGCCGCATCAAAGTAGTTGTTAACGAATATAATTACAGATCGCGATGACCGAAATCTCTTTAAATTATAAACGTTCTTTAAAAAGAGCGTTTAGTCCCAAGGACTTTGCTCGCCAAACAATCCTTTGAACACAGAAAAAATTTGTCTACACCTCAGCATACTTTGATCGGCAAACTTTATTTGTTACATTCAAAGCAAGAGGAAAACCCGTTCTGCTTTTGTTATGACCATTAGTTTTCATGTTTAATTTTCGTTTAATACTTACCGGAATATAAGTCATATGATGACCACACTGCCGCGGTTGTGGGGGATTTTAAAGGTGCTCGCCTGATACATTGTTCTTTGCGAGTTTGCTCAAATGTTAAGAGTTTTCCTGGGCAGTCCTATATCAAAATCAAAATTAAATGAGGGTAATGTTAAAATGGCTATAGTGAGGTGATGCTCAAGACAACTTTTTTCCGCGTGATATAGACTGGGCTCGTTTTCCAGCCAGTTTAATTTGCACCCGTGCGCGAGGTAACGTGGGCTCACAAAACGGCTAGTAAACCAACCTAGGTATGAGACATAACACATGTGCTTTGCTTTGAGAAAGAAACGAGCCTTTTAGCCCTTCTCTTTTTGTCTCTTGCTGCATTTCTTGCTCTCATACAACCTGACGGTTATTGCACTTTGCGAATGACCAGCTACCAAAGATCCATTGAGGATTTTATCTCAAATCAGAGCTACACGGTAACAACGTTGGCCAGTAACTACTTACCATGGTATTACAAAGCTCAAATTTGATATTCTCTCCTTCGCAAGGTCTTCCGTTATGTTTAGGCCTGAAAAACGAAACATTTCGTTACACTCCTCTTACTTGTTTAAATGTCTTGAAAGGGCAGCGTGATGGAGTGTCATGTTGACAGAGATTGGCAACTTGCATGACTCTGGGGTGCTTTATGGCTGACCTTGAATACTCACACAGGATTGTTACATTTTCTTGTTTTGAACTGAACTCCTACGCCGCAGGAACGCGAACATTCACTTAGATCGCTCCACCTACTCCAGCCACCATGAACCGGTTTTATAGTCGGCCTTGGAAGGGGAATGGTTGTATCCCGGTCATCTACTGAAACGCATTTCCCAAGACGACACCACTGTAAAGACAGAAATACTCTCTGTTTTGTTACTGTTTTTAATACACATCAAGAGGGAATATAATATATACTTATGTTACTGACCAAGTGTGAGGTCAAGATCATTAGATATTGGATTTTGCGTTTTTATGGCCCGTGAAACGAAGAAAAGAAACGAAACGAACATCAAACATCAAAGAACAAACACTTGGCTTAGTTATTAAAAGGATTTCTTACATGGTCAAAACAAAATTTTTGCTTGCAGAACAAAGTGGACTAATCCGAGTATTAACTAGTTCTTGTGTACTTGGGTATACGTAAACGCAAACGTTTGTGGACGGACTAGGGTGAACATACATGTAGGCTAAGACTACGCGTACTCGAATTCGTCGAAGCTCGAAAGCACTTTCTTTTTCGGAGGCCTCGTCCGCTGATCAAGAGTAACGCGGTCTCTGGGAACAAGGCCTGAAAGTAGCCTGTTCAAAAACCCTCTATTTCCTCTTTAGAGATCGTCGAGGGCGCGTATGAATATAAAAACCACCGGAGATTTATTCACCGCCAGCGCAAGCAGTCATTCTCGCGCGCCGTGCTTGCTCTCGTGCTGTCGAATGGGCGAAAAATAAGAAAAAGGTCTGTGGACAGGATGGCGTGAAACGGGATATATTCATAACCTTTTGGCACGTGAAAAATTAAAACGAGAATTTTTGTGACCAGTCTCCGTAGCACTTATCTTTGTAAACAAAGAAATATCGTTCTGGTGTGGAAGGCTGTAAATACTGAAGCCATTTTCATCCTTTTACAGTCTTACATGGACTCGTGTGGGCAGAGCCCTTAATGGTTTTTTTTAGTTTAGTACCTTGTTTTCACCACATTTGGTTCCTTCCAAAGCGGGTTCTCTTCGCGTTTGACAGAAGCGGTCATTATAGCCGGAAAAAGAACCGCGAACGCACCACAACTCCGCACAAGGATCTCGCTTCATCTGTTAAAAAAATGTCAGAAGTAAACTTGTAAATAACATAACTATATATGTAATACTTCAGCACAGCTGAGCCATGGCGAACTAGAAATTCTCACTGTGACATTTTTCGCTAAGTCTGTTGTGCTGGCGTCTTCCCAATCCTTCTCGGTTAATGCAATTCGCTGACGTATCTGAGACGAACGGACGCGAAAACTCGCTCGGACCACGCGACCTGAAACGCAGAGGCCGTACTGGATAACGGGGACTAGGGACTAGCAGATAAATATTGAAAAAAAAAACAACAACAACAACAACTCTATACACCTACCCGACTGCAAAACCTGGAATTCCTACCAAAGTCATGCTGACATTGTTGATCGATGGTATAAATCTGACCGGGTAGCTTTTTCAAATAAGGAAGCTCATTTCTGAAGGGTACATCGTCTAAACACCACAGAGCACTACATGGAAAGAACGAAAGCAACATCCGTCAGACATGAGGACAACTCGGAAAGAATCACCGTTCCAATACCCACTCCAAATCTTTATTCGTCGGCCGTGAGCCAAGTTGTGACTTTTCGATTCCCTTTAAGTTCGCAAATCTCCTCGATGTAAAACCTTCCGTTCGCATCGAAACAACGCTTGCTTAGTCCACAAACTGATTGATAATAAAACATGATTCATCTTAAATTTTCATGGTCATCTTGCATTGCCAATAAAAAAATGAAATCTTGTGTAGATGAAGCAATGACACAGATACAATCTTTTTCATTCTCTTACAAAAGACAATAAGTCAACTTACTTTAACTTTGATAAAAGGTCTCGACGACTACAAGAGGACCAGTAAAACCGGTCAAACTGGGATCGCACCAGAGGTGCCATGATGCTTCCTTTGATGACGTCATTGGAGCAGTTATTGTTTACTCCGTCATGTTCCATTCCTAATCTGTGAATAGGAACAACAATCATGAATCATTAAAGACAGTCAAGGGTGAATTTCTGCTATCGCATAATTTTCTGTTCGTGCGCACGTAAATTTTACGCGCGTAAACCAAATAGAGGCGATGCATGAAAGGTCGCGCGCGCGTAACGTAAACTAAGTTGAACCTCGCTCAACTTAAAGTGCAGTTATGACAAAAGAAAAAGAGGTTCCGACTCACAAACTCGTCGATAACTTACGTATGTCCTGTCTCATGCGCGATGATAAATGCAGAAGCAAATCCATCTTCCTCGTTTAGTGTGCAGCTTCGCAGACGATAGCACATACCATGAACTGGTGCGTAACCTGTTGACACAACATGGATGGTGTCGAATTTGATTATTCAAGGTTGATAATTATAAACGAAGTCCGATTGAGGTAAACAAGTTGATTCCAGAGTGCAGTAAAGTTTCGCTGCCATATGCTATATGCCCTCCTCGCAAGCATCGTTTTAAGAAAGCAGCGTTGCCAAAACACCACAGATTTAGAGCGCAGTTTTTGCTTACTGAAAAAACGCGAAATCATAAGAACAAACAGTCTCAGTAAACTCTAACATGGGTAGATTGCGTACCTGACGGGCCGAAGTCCTTTCTGCATAAAAAGAAAAAGAGAAGAAGAGATAGTAATATATGAGGAAAGTCAGTGACTGAATCGCAAACACTGTACTAGTTAGATTTCTATTCTAGGTCCGCAAGAATGGCAAATAAATACAAAAAAAATACTAGTTATATTAAATATTCGGAATAACTTCAGTAAGCTAAGAAACATATGTTTTGTAAAAATGAATGTAAAAAACGCACTTTGTCTGCGTTAGACGCTTTTATGGACTCGTTACCTTGTTAAGAACACTGTTTGATCATAGAAATCCTTGGTAACCCTGTCATAGCCTTTCCTTGTCTTGTAGCCCCAGTAACAAACGCTTGATAAACTGTCCATTGGCTTTCCATTAATTTTGATTTCTTTCTGGGATGTAAAAAGGCAATGTAAGCTACTTCATTGGACAATACTAAAAACGAACTATTTTTTTCCTATCCTTATTTTTGAGTATCAACTGCGTCAAGTTTTAATTTTTTTTTTCTGACAATTACCAACGCCCTACTGTAGACAAACTGATATTTGCCAAACATTTACGGTCAAGAGAAGAAAATGATAACTTCGCACCCAAAACATAGCCTGGATTTCAGTCGTCTAACTGAGTTGCAAACTCCCGAGAGAGACGTCGCCTCCCTCGGGAGTGTGCGACGCCAAGGAGCCAGGGGTATTTAATGTTAACCCAAAACTAAGATTATTAATATGTTTTTCGAAAAAGGATAAAAATGGCAGATCGCGAGGAAAGAGGAGATTGCGACCTCTCTTTGAAAAGTAGATAGAATGGCATTGCTTCGACTGCAAAAAAGAGTGGACGACGTTCTTTTGGGGGAGCGTTGCGTGACATCCAAAAAACGGCTGCGAGGGAGACTAAATAATTCGTTAAATCGAGGTTTTCGAAATAAAGAACCCTCGATATAACAAACAAATTTTCACAGTCCCTTGGCACTTCGTTAATCGAAGTTCCACCGTAACATCATAATAAGACGAGAAATAGCTCCAACGAAGACGTCCTATGAAGCATGTGTGGTAATTGTCTTGTAACGGTCTCCCCATAACTTCCACAGTTATGTTCAAGCAGAGCGTTGTAACATGACAAAGCACTAAGAATTTAGAGCAGAAAAACAACACCTTACCGGATCCTTCTCCAGAAGAACTAGCTTAACGACAACAAAATATACTGGAGCGCCGATTGATTGGTGTTGAAATAATCTGGAGACCTGTAACAAGAGAAGGTGCCTAGTCATAACAATCCTATTCCTCAGTGTAAATTCTACTTCTGTTAACATTGAAGTAGAACCTCCTTTCTTTTGTCTCAGCAAATACACATGATTACGTTCAGCAGCATCAATACAAAACATTAGCTCTGGTCAAATCACAACACAAACTGCCAATCAAATAAACCAATAATTACTCAAGACAAAGATATGGAGCGGTTAATACATTGTAGCGCGCAAAGCGCAGCAAAAGCTCAGGAAATGGTACCTGACTAAGGGCTCTTATCAAAAGTCAGGAATGGCCAACCGAACCATCGAAAATGAAACATGCTTTTTTTCGAAAGGTTTCGCTGAAAACCCAATTCTCCCCTTATTTCCACCCAGCATACTATTTACTGACAGATTGACCTGGCTGGACCACCAAAGGTGGAACTTTCTTTAAGAGACTGGACTGCTATGCACTCCAACTCAAGGCTAGCGCTCTCTGATGGCAGAGAGATTGTTACGCCAATCAAAAACCGTAATGGTGAAAAACAATGAAATCCCGAAATAGCTCTCCAGATCAAGTTTTAAACCGCTCATGACATCAGTATTAATTTCAAAAGCCTTATGGCGTTACTATAACTGACAGTACTCACAATGTTCATCAAAGTCAAGATATATTTCTCCGATTTTTCCTTGCCATGAAACTTCACTACAGAGCTGTCCGCTGTTGCCATCACCTCTATGTACTTGGGCCTTGTCTTAAGCATGTCTGGAAATTTCATGTCGGGAAGCGACAAAGTGCCTGGAAGAGAGACAAATATGTTACCAATTGCAATTCCAGATGTGCTTTTTTATTTTTTTAGAATTAGCACATAAAGAAAAAGCAGTAATGAGAATTCTAGCAGCACCCCAACGTAGCCGCCCTTCCCCCAAATTTTCGAGTGTCTTGACACTTGAATACGTTAAATCGGGATTCCACCTTATATGAGAGGCTGAAACCAACTTTCTTTTTTAATGGACCATTTTTGATATATTAAAATTCATACTTGGCTCCGAGACTTAAGGGAATAAAACAAAAGAAATGTATTATTCATTAACTGAGCCTCAAGATGATTTCTTTTGTTTTATTCCCCCAAGCCTCGCAGCCAAGTATGAATGTTAAATAATATTTAGATCGATATCATCATCTCTGTAATCATCTACGTCATCATCATCATCATCACCATCATCATCATCATCATCATCATCAGAAATCATCATCATCATCATTATCACATCAACCTTAAGCCTGAGACAACTAGATACTAGAAAAATATGCACAGTCGAAAACAACCTCAAACCCTCTGAACCGAAGTCAAACTATTTCTTAGAAAACAAAACGTGCCAAGAAGGCACTGTAAAATAGAACTTGATTTATTCAATTTAAAAGAGTTACTATCACCAACTTGGAACGGTGATGAAGACTCGTATCGGATTTTCTGGGTCTGTTTTCACAGGTATATACTTCTTGTGTCCATTTACATGAAGAATTTTGTTCGTGTCGAGATCTTTCACGAACCACGTGTGAGAAGTGTAGGTATTAACTACAACATCTTCCTTTGGGGACAGGTTTAAGAAGAAAAGTGTTTCGCCCTCTTCGATGTAAAACACCTGTGGGATACAGACAGAAATAAAAAAATATCAAATGAAGAAATAGTTATATTCGCAGTGGGGTGAGCTAAGTAGGTGGGGCAGATCACTGGGCCCGTTTCTCGAAAGGCCCGATAACTTTTCGGGTCCGAAGGTAAATTTTGAAATCAAAACCAGTTGAATAGCAGCACATTCCTAGCTCACAAACCAGCCAATTTTGCTTCGTTAACTGATAATTTCATTATCAATTTCAATTTCATTAATTTGATTATTGAAAATTTGATCTTGAGTGCAAACCCGGCAAACATAAAACAGCTTTCAGGCCCGAAAAGTTATTGGGGCTTTCGAGAAACGGGTCCCAGGGCGGAGTTGCGGGTTCATTTCCCGGCACTGGACTCAGATTCTTAAGTAGCTGAGGAGTAAGACAGTGTCTTTCAGTCTGCCCTCGAAACGGCCAGACCTTCGTCCGGCTCGGATAACCGCATGAAAATAGCGATCCTATCTCATGTAGGAGTCGTCAAACAGTACCTCTGTAAGCAGTTGAGTGGCAGATTACGTTTGTTGCGGATACACTTGAATCTTTACGATAATCGCCTAGGAGTAGCCGGCCAGTTTTTAGGTTTGCAACTACGTAGGCCGCCATGTAAGTGGTTTACGAACTATTTTGTTTGCAGAATTTGCACGAAAATTTAGTTTAGTAGGGGGGTACTCGACTAATATTTGGGTATAGGTGGAGTTCCCTTAGGAGAGAAACGCTCTTGTTTTTGGGGGTTGTCAATTACTCGCCCTAATCGATCTGAAAATTAACGTTAGAGAAGAAATTAGTTGTAAATGATAAATGTTACTTTAACAGCAGGAAGGAACTCTGAAAAACTTTAATTGCAATAGGTTTAAATCTTCTTTAATTTTGTCCATCGACTCCTTCTCCTGCATTTGGTTTGTTACTGATTTTATCCATTCATTAACAAGTTTTAAGCGCTTAATTTAAGATGGCAAGCGGGACATTCTGAATGTGGCTAAAATTCGTGACCAAGCTCTACCTTTAAGGACAAATTCAACACAACTCTGTTGCACCAGAGAAAAAACTCAAGGGACTTACCTTCACGAATCGGTTTGATCTATTGATAAAAGTTAAATGACTGTTGGGCTGAGAAGGTTGAGTGGCCGCAGGAAGCTTGAGACCAGCTGAAACGCAATGGAGAAACATTATGATCGAAGACTTGGGGTTGATGTTAAGGGAGGCAATAAAAAAGTATCGACTTTCTTGAAGTTAGACTTGAACACTAGTCAACTCTTCCCAAGCAAACCACGAAAGAATAATCCAACTAAAAAGGACTTTTTAGAAGTCTATTCTGAAGTTTTTTACTCATAGTTTTCGGATGCTGAATTGCTACGGAATGCCGATTACTACCAAGAGCTTGCTTTTAGATTAACTGGTAAAACTAAACTTTCATAAAAGATTATTCAATTAAACAGACGGTGATAATCACGCAGCGAGAGGCCATTTCATAAGAGAAACACCGGGTGCTTAATCCGTTAACTTCTATTAATAAATTTCAGTTGAAAGGGATAATTTACTCTTAAACCAATATTAGCCACTTTCTTATCAATCAAGTCCTAAAGAGTATTTCAAACATTATACTACTTCATGAGAAATTTCTGTAACTTATTTGGCTCAGAGCAGTGATATTTCAGCCTAATATACCTACGTGTAAAAATTACAAACCTTTTGCTGGTAGTAGTATAAACAAATAATAGCATGATTTGTACGTGATATTTGGCCTACATACCACTCGTGATACCGTAAAATTCCGAAAATAAGCCCCGGGGCTTATATTTTTCGAAGGCCCTTTTTGAGGGGCTTATTTTTGGAGGGGCTTATATTCGGAGGGGCTTATCTACGGAAGGAAATTCGCGTTTCAAAATCGATTGGGCTAGCCTTATAGTTGGAAGTAAATTTACCGTTTTTGCTTTGCTTTACTTTGTATTTGAGGGCAATTTTCCAAGTACAACCCCGGGGGCTTATATTTGGAGGGGCGATTTAACGGAAGGTTTTTCGCGTTACCGGTTTGGGGGGCTTATATTTGGAGGGGCTTATTTTCGGAATTTTACGGTATTTCAAAATTGTCTCAAATTTCACGAGCCGCTTACGTACACCAATTTCGAAATATCACCCGCGTGGTATTTATGCCAAATATCACTACAAATCATGGTATTACCTATACTAATCGGACGGTGAATAGCGCACTCTCACAGACGACACTGACTAAAATCAGCACAAAGTGTACAAGACAAAAACATAGAAATCGCTTTACAGGCAACGTTTAAAAGCTTTATAGTGTTAGAGTCAGTAGCGGTTTTCTGCACTTTCGCGTTGCCCATAATAGAGACCTTTTTATTCGAGGACTGGGCACGACTCCAAGGACAAGTAGGAAAGAACGCTGGGAACGAGGTTGAGATTCCACTCGAAGAAAAGACACACCTCAGAAAGCTTCATATTATTCACATTTTTTTCTTTTTAACCAGAAAAGTTAGGACGATAATTTTTATTGAGGGAGGCTAAGTCCTCTCCTGATCTCAGAATGATAAAACTTGTGATAAAATGTTAAAAATTTGATAACTTGTTTCCGCCACGTTTATAGTCGATTAAGTATCGTATTACTCACGTGGAACAGTGATTTTAGCGCGATATCGGTTTCTCATAGTCGTTCCAGTGGGTGGAATGAAGGTCTTTTTCCTGTTGATGAAGAGTGGTTTTCCTGTATCATAGTCTTTTGCTATCCATTTGTGCACCGTAAAAGTGTCTACGTCTTGTGATTGCCCATCTTGCAAAATTCGGAATAACTGTTCCTTTCCGTAGTTGATATAGTAGATCTGTGACATAATTGAAGTAGTAAAGATTAACCACTGGTTGATGAACACTGATTGGTAGATTGAAAGATTGATTAATTCAATAATTAGCTAAAGAATTGAGAGACTGATTCTAGAAATGCAAGTACAATTATCGGTGCAGTTATGGACAAACACTTTTTTAAAATTAAAATATATTAATTAAATATGGAGAGTCAAAATGATGATGACAAAGTCACAGCCACCGGAACATGACTTGTTCTTTTCCTAGTTCCCAGGCCCTATCATTCCGTTCGAGTCACGTGATCCGAACGTTCGTATCGATACGTCACCGAAATGGCATGACCAAGAAGAAAAAGGTATAATTATATATAACTAATTACCTAATTACCTAAATAACTAATTACCTTAACTGCACGTCTTGCAAGATTCATGAGTGTTATGTACGAAGTTTGAGAAGCTGCCGCTGTATCGACCAGCTTCTTCTCCACTAGGAAATAAAAATTTAGCAGCATTTGCGGAGATCAAAGTTTTTGTTCACGTACCGAATACAGAAGATCATTTGAGTGGGTTATTACTTAGCTATAAGCACACATACAGAAAAGTAATTTTCTCGTAGCTTGTTTCTTCCTTTGTTTTTTGTGTCTATACGTGATTTGCATCCATTGTTTTTTACTGCTATTAAGCGTTCTGATTGAATAAAAAGCCCTGAAGAGATCATTATAAGATGATCTCTTCCTAAACAGGTATGCCTTTCCTTTCAACCACTCCGGCAAGTTGAACCGAACAATTTTCGTCGGGTTATGAATAGTGAGCGGGTTTCCTTACGGCAGTAGATCGAGGAAAACCTCTCTTATTTTATAAGTTGAACTCTATCAGTATTTTTTTCTTCGTTATTAAAGGAAAACGCCGAAAACGACCAACCGGATCTGGAGGTTGGAAGCTTTCTGAAAGGTAAGGTTGACAATGATGATGACATAGATGATGTACGCTTGTTCGTTTGTTTTGGTGGTTTTAGAGGATCAATAGATCATCATTCCTCTCAAGATAATGACGCCCCTTTTCTAGCATTACCCCGGTTTTTTTCTTCGGTTTGTTTCATTTTCCAAAGCAAATGGTATCAACGTAATGTATTCATTTACCATTGCGAGACAGTATCATACAAACGTGCAATGAACCCTGTATTAACCGGAAATCCGAGGGGCTCTTTCTATACTGGTTCATTTAATGAAAAATATGGAAGAAAATGATAAGGACTCTATAACATACATGTCCTGTAAGGTGTCCGCTTCATGATATGCGTCCTTCATTGCACGTACGTTGACATTCTTAAGAGATTAGAATTTGGATTACGGGGAGTTACTAACCTTTCAGTCCTCTTCTGAGATAGTCACCGTCAAACCTGTCAAACGACAGATCATGAAGTTGGTTGCGGCCTAGCATGGCCTTACTGTACATCAAGTGTGGTCTACCAGGTCTGGTCCATCCCCGTTGAGCTAACAGACTTGTGTTCAACACGGGCTCGATGAAGATGGTGTCATTACCCAACTCTATGATTCCTGCCTTAGAGAAAGAGCATATATTCGACTCTTAGAAATCACTATTATTAGAGACCTTGAGATTTTAAAGGTGATGTTCTACGAGATAATTCGCAACGACGATTTTTGGCGCAACACAGGGTTGCAATGTTGGTACAATGTTGCAACCATTCGAAACATTGTTACCAATGCTGTGTTGCGCTAAAAATCGTCGTTGCGTAAGTCCCGTGTAACATCACTTTAAAACGAGGACGACTAAGAGAGCGAGATATTCGCAATACTAAGTAGTGGGCGCGCATGAACCAGCGTCATTTAGGTTGGTTATAATTATTTGCTTGAACAGTCCATACAGAAATTTATCATTATATTTTTGTCTTTAACAAGACGATTAACGCGAGACCGACTGATTTTCCCTGTGCGTCTGTGCAGTGTTTGAATAATGATAGGGCTTTGCTGTAAGTCACAAAAAGTGTGATTCACAGTTCCTTGAAAATCCAGAGCCAAAACCCAAGCCGTGTCAATATCAAATATAACTATATAAAGAGAATCATAAGTTAATTCTTTGGTATTCGGTTTATAAATGATAAACGAGTATTAAATAATTTCTTAACGTACAGTAAAACCGCAACAAAAAGGTGCAACTTGTTTTTTACAGCAAAACGAGTTGAAAAACGATTTTGCGCGATTTACCACCCATGTTTAAACCTGTCTTGCAACAAATCAAGTTGTCGCAGGTTGCGCAAAATTGTTGCAGAAAGTCGAAAGTAGTTCTACTTTTTGCAACAAAATCTGTACATGTCGCGCGTTTTACCGACCCAAGGCGAACTTGTTTTACAGCAAGTGAAGTCATTCCCATATATGGCGCAAATCCCGCGCAATTTCATCCAATCAGTAGTCAGTATTCAGGCAACCTGCCACAACCGGATTTGCTGAAAGACAGGTTTGAACGTGATAGGTACAACGTGAACATCGCTATTCAACTCGTTTTGCAGCAATGTTTCGAAACAAGTCGCACGTTTTGTTGCCCATTTTACCGTAGCTTAAGATGAGATCAGAGTATGCATAAATTAATGGTTTCTTACCAGTCCATCACAGTCACTTATGGCCACACTGGTGTGAAATGTCTCAGCTTCTCCGACTAGGTAACACTGATCCGTCACCGTTTTCGTTTCAATACTACCGTCTTCTTTATGGCGCTCAACGACAAAATCAGATCCGAAAAGCTTTGTGTTTAGTCTCAAAAAGAGTTTAACAGTCTTTCCCTTATAGCTAACCTATAAAAAATAATGAGAATTTTACTTAAATAATGAAAGCGTGAGTCTTTCAGAAACTGGCAAAAATAAACTTAATCACACCAAAAAACCATGAGCCTAGCCCATTCTATATACATTGACAGTGGCCGGTAAAACAATCCCGAGGAGGAGCAATTGAACAGTCAATTAAAATATTTTCGTTAACACATCGCAATTTATTTGTTAAAGAATTTACGGGCAAAGTGACAGCTAAAGCGTGTATCTGTAAAAGACAGAGATTCTTTAAAAAGTAACACCAGGTGGCTTTTGCTTTTGGGCAGTGTGATTATTAAGTCAAATGAGAGAGATTTGCGAAAGCTTGTACTTAAAACCACAGATTGTCATTTTCATTGCTTAAAAATCGTTACGTTTCTTATACGCTGTTATTCAAGGTAAATTGTTTTGATTCTCTTTGTTAAGAAGTTTTTTGGACATGCATGAACACGGAAGCTGCTAACTCGTTAAGGTCACAAAATCTTATTCGAGCGCGGACCATTTCCCAGAAACAAAAAGACTTTTAATTTTGAGAAAAAGGAATCATGTTTTTAAATCAAGTATTTGTTACACCCTTGTCGTTGTGTCCACTTCATGGTAATATGGTATACTACTAGATTAAACGAAAAACATAGATGTTTGACCGCGGTATATGTGGTTTCTAATAGACTCCTGTTCCTACCTGGTATGTTATCGGTCCAGTCTCTTCGCTTGCGCTTCGCCGACGGCGTCGATGGTTGGATAAGGTAGTCACGTGGTCTTTAAAGCGACCTCGATCATCCAACTCTGTTGGGTAAGTGATATCAAACTCTGACAGCGAGTTGATCAGGTGCTCTGTTGAAAGTTTTAAAAAAGTAACAATTATCATTTAGACAAAGGAGAATCAGCAAGGCCGCTTTGGACTCCTTTCCGAATTTCCGTAAAGTACCTTCCTGATCCCTGGACCACCTTTAACCTCTCAAAGCATCAAGTTCACGGCAAACCAGAAACGGTAACGGGAAGATGTGCTTAACGACTGCTTATGTATCCGAGAATGATAATGTAATAAAGTTCTCGCTCAAATTGTACATGTACCTAAACGTGAAAGCACACGTCTTCACCATGTAAACGATCAGGGACCAAACGAAATAGTCGAGCGGTTTGACGTTCGCCGTAAAAAAACGTGAACCTTTGACTCTTTTCTTTGTATTAGAAGAAAGTTCGCTGGCCCATGATGTCGCTTTAACCTCGGGTTATATATGGTTTTAGCCGTGGAGGCCTGGTGCCTTCCATAAAGATCTAGAGCTACTTTTTAACCAATCAGAAGTACAACATAAACTTCGCTCAAACCAACCATGACCTGGTGGCATGAATTTTCCCGCCCTTGGCACCGGTCTTATGTCTGTAATTACGCTGATAATGATTTCACGACAATCGATGAAAAAACGTCCTTTGTGGCGTCGGTTGATAGAACGGCGAGAGCATTTTTTGACTCATTTTAATGTTGGGACTGTCGCTTAACTTTTGCCTTTACAACCTGTATATAAAACAGTCTTATTTTGGCACACTATTCTTTCTTCCTGAGCGGTCCACTAATTGGTTGCAAAGATTCATTGCTTATAAAAATGTGTTTGCTTTTTGTAGTAGACACATTAAGAGTCCTTTCAACGCAAAATGAGTTTATGCCTAATCCTCTTAGCAGACTAAGCTCTAGTTGTCGGGTCTTTTTTTATCTACCTGTAGATGTCAGTGTAGTGCGCAATTCTGTAAAGTTTTTTTGACGGTTGTTAAAAACCTGCACCATCCACTTAATTTATATCCGATATCCGGACCTCACGAGGACTAACAAAGCCACTAGGAGCTCACTTTGAACGACACCATGCTTCAGTCGTCGGAGATTTCAGCAGGCTTCTCAAAGATTACGTCTGGCCAACTTTTCAATTGTCAGGAAAATTCCGGACTACCAAATTTTAGCTCATATCTGGGACTGTTATAAATTTTCTTATAAAGCTATTCATGCGAATTCATTATTCCTTCGACCGTATGCTGTCTAGGCTCGATTACCAGCCGCTGTCCGGGAGCCCGCACTCATGCTTCCTCTTCGGGAAGGATCAAAGACCGGACCCTTGATTGAGACAGCGGGACTCGAGTCTACACGCGCGCTGCCTCGATCCATGCCACTCTGTCTCGCCAATGAGTCTTTTTGTCTTTAACATTTGGCAGTGATTTCCCTTGAGTGCTTGTATCAAAGATGAGTGGGGTGTCTCTCGAGAATATATCGGGATCTACTTGTACGTGGACTTAAAGTCCGCAGAGAAGAAAGTCAGGAACGATGTGGTTTTAAGTTCTTTTTTATACAGAGGCTTAAAACAAACCCGTAAAACTTTTCCACGTGGATCTGGTCGTCCTTCATAGACTTCATAGCCAGACTTCCCAGCCACATCCGATAGCTTTAAACGCTAACGCTATAATATGCGCCTCAATCCATAGACATCCCAAAAAATCTAAAATGGTCTAGGATACATTTGGGACAATTGAAGCGGATGGCCTGCTTCGGATGGTTCCGGCAGAAAAAATGAATGGCGTTGTTTTTAAAAATACTTTTCACTTCCTTAATTCCAGATAAACGATTTAGTTGTTCATCACGCATTTTGCGAAAGAGACAAAAACTCGATCGAGTAAAACACACCCACTAAGTAACACAAAAGAACCGAAAAACCTGTTTAATGCACTTGGTAAAGAACGAAACAGAGTATAACAGAGATCAATTTCAGCTGGAAAGCCGCGCCTTTATTGTGCTTTTCTTCGACCGTCCGCGTCCTATAGTATGAGCTTTTCCCAAAGGCGCGAAAACCAACATTTCAAACCGAGTTAACGAACCCAAATAAAGAACAAAACTCATTTTTTTATAAATTGAGCTACCTAAAAAGTGATACAAAAATGGAAGGATTTTTTACTTCAGTTCTCCTTTAACGCCTATGAACGGGCAAGGGACAATTCCAAAACACAACACGTGAACTCACGATCAGCAAACGTTTTACTATTACCAAACCGTAAAAAAAATAAATTCCAAATGCTGAGGATGACAGGGTTGGTGGTCAGGGCCACCGAGGAAAAAAAATAATCTACTTCGACGAATATTGTTACACTAATAGATCCGTAAAACTGGTGATAAATAGGGGCGAGATAACAAACTATAACGAAATTTACATACAGCACGTAACAAAGGAGCGTAATTATCGAAATACCGGAGAGCGAAAAGGAAAAGAATACACGATAACAAATAAGTGAGAAAGCGAAAAAACAAAAGGAAAAAAAAACTTGCCCCAACAGCCTGTTTGATAAAACGACTGCCATGGCTATCTATTATATTAGGTGCTTATAGCTTTTTAATTTTGCACTACTTCTCTTGGGTCAAAACCGAATGTTAAAAACAGAGGTCATTTTCATTCATTGCAGTCTGAAGGAGTGAGAGATTATTATCATTATAGGGAAAGGCTCGGACTGGAATTGAAGTAAGTTACAAGTCATGTATTGCATTGCTTGACCATAGTTAACACTGTAGTGTCTTTGTTGCAAGGCTTAACTCGGACAACTGAGAATTTCTTCGGGAAAATCGAGTCCTAAAAACAGATTTTGCGTCTCTTTGCTAATCCAAAGAATCAACACGCCGAGTAGAGATTAAATCTAAATCTAGATATTTGGGATTCACGATCAGTACGTTCCTTTGGACACAGCGGCTTGCCAGTGGAATATGGACTTGCAATGTTCTTGTCGGTTCGCGCCAATTTTGCTGGTATGCCAAAGGATCCATTTTCGGTTTTTCGTTTCTTTCTGAGATCAAAGATGTAACCTCAGATCCTCCTAAAGAAACGCAGCCTGAGTGAGGATCACGCATTCAAAAAATTACATACAAGTCTTTCTTTGTACAATGATTACAGTGTTATTGCCTAGACCTGCACCAAGTTTTCAGTTAAGTGAAGGTTTGTTTTAAGAGAAGGTTATAAGGGAAGGTGAGATTGTTTGCATTTCTGGAATCATTTATGGGGCTGTACACGTGCATGAATTCAAGCCCACCTGTTGAGTTGTATATGCACAACTGAGATTTGTTTCCACAAAAATTTCAAGGATCGTTTTGTTTCTTCGCCTGTGGGATGGATGCACGGGTTTGATCGCAGCTGTTCACAGTATTAATAACGGGAACATGGTTACATTCCTACTTCTTCACTAGCCTGATTATGAAAGAACTACTTTATTATTATATAACGGAACGAGTTCAAGGTCGTCTGGTAAACAAATGATCAGTATTTAATAAACGCGTGTTTGATCTTATGAACATGTGACATTTGCTAGCTGCTTTTAATAATTCATGCATGTAGAACGTTCCAAAAGCATAGTTTTATCTTTTCCTTTGCCCAAAAATGGAGATTTGAGAATGTAGCTGGGTTTTCATTTCTTTCGTTGAAGAGCAGCGCAGACTAACTTTAAAATTATAATGCAGCAGTGTACAGGAGCATGATTTTGAACGCAAGCAACTCAGCTAGAGGCCAAAAACCACCGGTCCACCGGTGGTGGGTAAAGACCTAAAACGAAAAAATTCTGGATTTTTCTGATGTTTTTTTTGCTTAGTCACCTCCATGTTTTTCGTCCCCTATTCACCTTTCAACACCAGCTAACAGCAAGGTTTAATTGTTCTAATCATCCTGACATTTTTCATCAGATTTCACACGTACGTTTTGTCGGCTAATGACGTCACTATTTAGTGTAAAGCGCAGAAGTTCAGACCAAAAGTTGTCAAATTTTCACTTCTTAGAGTTTTTACTTTGCTAATGCGCCAGTTTGTTCTTGGAAGTTAATTGAAACAGTTCAAAGGGTTTTAAAAACGGAAACATGAGGAATTGTCGAAGACATTTTACTAAGACGAGATTTTCAACAAAGAGGGGTTTATTATCTTGAGAAAAATGAACAGCTTTCAACAGTTGCTTTTTTTTTGTATCATTACCGACTTTTCCACTTTATGGTATTTCAAATAGAATGCCACTACAAAACAAGAAGTAAGCGACGGCTACAGTTCCTTTCGTGCCGGCAACTTTCCGAAATTTGTTAGCAAAGGAAATGGTTCTTAAACGGACTTTCTCAGTAATACAACGACAATATTACAAGCTGCAAATAGAACTGGAGCTAACTGGCTTCACGTAGTCATTCTCGATATCAACATTCTTACATTCTTACAGCCGGGTCTCAAAGGTGGTCTTGCGACGATAGCGAAAAAACAATCCTAATATTCTCCCAACCCCCTCCCCGTTTACGCCTGCTACCGGAAGACGCTGGGTATAAGGAACATGGGCGGAACATCTGCCGGTGAGCTCTGAGTATCACAATCCTCTACGATACACGATTTAATAGGGCAAGTGCACAAGTAACAGGCTGCAAGAAATATCTGTAGTTTCAGTTTAATATTTAACCTTTCAGTGGTGCGAGCATAAACAAACAGTCGCCTTTTGTGTGCTATCTTAGTAGGTATCTAGTGTTGCATTTCCGTGAAGCAGGCGCTCAGTGCAGTGACCTTTTGGCGATGTCAAGAAAATGAAGTTTGCATTTCCGAAATAAAAGGCTTTCAATGGTGGTGTGCCAAGAGGAAAGGTTACGGACATGTTAATCAAACAGCTCCGACCGCAATCGTGCGCGGTGAAACTCTTTCGTAAGACACAGCCACGAGAACACTCGGGTGAGGCAAATTGGGGTTCTGTTTTCTAGTATTTAAACTATATGTACTTAGAAGATAGCTGTTGGAGTATTTTTGCAACGGGTTTTTACCTAAGGCAAGGAGAATTGCTTTTAATATGAAGATTTGTGCTAATCTGACTGAAACGGCTTGCAGACTTTAAG